TGATGGACAGAGAGCGTGGCGTTGTATGGCTCGACCACTACTTCCGAGACCTTGGCCGACGGCATCACAGAAAAGGTCGCCATCATGCGATCAGGGTATTCTTCGCGGACCTTGGCCAGCAGGAGCGTGCCCATTCCCGCACCGGTTCCGCCGCCGATCGAGTGAGTGACCTGGAAACCTTGCAGGCAGTCGCAATCCTCGACCTCACGGCGGATCACATCAACGACTTGCTCGACGAGTTCTGCGCCCTCGGTATAGTGGCCTTTCGCCCAGTTATTTCCTGCGCCCGCTTGTCCGAAGACGTAGTTGTCAGGATGGAAAAGTCCTCCAAGAGGGCCGGCCTTGATCGCATCCATTGTTCCGGGCTCCAGGTCGACGAGAACGGCGCGAGGGACGTACTTGTTTCTAGCCTGGAGGAATATTAGCGAAGTCGGACATCAAGTATGGATTCGTTCCACTCTTCACCTCGTTGAAATACACGTTGAGCCTCTCCATCTGAGTGTCGGAAGTCCCGCCGTACCTATTGCGCAGCGATGTTAGACTTGGCCAACTACCTTAAGAGAGTGAACTTACACTCCATCACCGTCAAGTCCATGTTCGGAAGTGAGGTTTTGCCTATAATCGATGAGAATCTATAGCTTGATGAATCTTTGCGCCTACTTACCAGAACGCGGTACCGACTTGGTTGCCCTACGAGCTCGTTAGTCAAGGAAACCGTAAACGGAGTGGCTTTACTTACGCATTGTCCTGTCTGTATGTGAATCTGGAGGTTTATGAATTAGCATCAAATCAAAATCCTAACTGGGCCAAACAGCGGAAGGTGTGTTTTCTTACGATTTCACGCATTTTCAATGTTCGTCGAAGGGGACCACGGAGAATTGGATTTCAATGGGATGAATTTTCTGATTGACCACAAGCAGAAGAAAAAGTTTCTTCGACTTCCACGACATTTTATTCAAAGGGCGACATCAAGGAGTGATCAGGCTGCCGAATTAACAAACCCCCTGTTTTATAGGCAACAGAATAAACAAGACGTGATTGTTGGCAGCTGTCGGCGGAACCAGGGGTGTAAGCGGCGAGGTGGTGCGGGGCCACGGCAGATAATTGGAGAATAAGCAACGGCGGGATTGTTGCTTTGTTTAATTCCGCGCTGGATTCCACAGCAACAAGGAGCAGAGTCTGGTGACTGGCTGCTGGAGGTGGTCGGATGAAGCCTGAAAGTGGAAGCACCGGAGCTTTGAACCGTCGGCGGCGGAAACTAAGTGGAGACCTGAGAAGCCCCTGGAATTGTCGATTGGCTCGCTCGTGGGAAACATCGCGTCTGCCTCGAGACATCAACCAGCTCGCGCTTTGCCTCTCACCCCCCTGAGCAGGGTGTGACCCCAAGCTGTACCGACTACCGCAGCCATCAGGATGGATTCGACCGCTACAGGAAGGCGCCAAGGGCTGCGGAAGGGCACGCGAAGCTGCTGGGAGTGCAAGAGGCGCAAGACTCGCTGCATCTTCAGCTCTGGGGCCGCCCACACCACTCCTTGCACTGGGTGCCAACGCCGAGGGCTGGCATGCGTGAGCCAGGAGGTGCCAGAGGAGACTGCCCGGCCTACTGTGCCGTACCAGCCGCTGAACGACCGGCTGGTCCGCGTGGAGAAGCTCCTTGAGGAGATTGCGGCAAAGCAGGAATCTGGCGCGACGCCGACCCGACACTCGGATCCAGGCAATGTGTTCAACGTGAACTCGGATATTGTCTACACGCCCGGAATCTCTGCATGCATGGCTGTCGATGACGGTTGTGAGGGCGAGTATGTTTCCCTGAATAGGAGGCACTTCGAAAATATGCCCAGGCAACCCAGAGAGCAGCCCGAAAAGCTTCAAGCAGTGCTACCAACAACCGAAGATATGAACATCATCGCTCGGGTCATTAGCCATGATGCGCTTTACTATCATATGATGATGGCGATACCATACACGCAGGCTAAATTCCCAACGTCCAACACTCTAGGCTCCCTGGCCACGCTACCGGACCTCACTTCGCACCCAGTTCTCATCGCAAAGAGGTTGCTCATAATAGCGACATTCTTGCAGGGCATGGCGCCCGAGCATAGGAACCAGGCCTTGCGTCTGTCCATGCCAGTCGACGTCATGAAGACCTGCCTCGTGGATGTGGCCAGGCGCTTGGCCGAAACGAGGGACGACCAGATCAGATACATGGAGGAAATGGAATGCATCCTCCTCGAGGCCGTCTTCCACGCCAACTGCGGGAACTTGAGGCGTTGCTGGCTCGCTTTCCGTCGATTGATGGCCATCGGACAGCTACTTGGTATGAATCGCCCAGGCCGCCAGCTTGTCCAGTTTCTGGATGCCGAGAATGCGGCTGATCCGCATTTCATGTATTTCCAAATCATATACATGGAACGGGTGCTGTGCTTATTGCTCGGGCAGCCCCAAGGCTCCTCGGGCTGCGATGCAATGCTTCTCAGCGACGAGAACCCTGTTCAGCGGATGGAATTTCTGCATTCATCTGTAGCCAGCCAGATACTGACGCGCAACGAGGATGGGCTCTGCTATGAAGAATATTCGGCCACGCAGAAGATTGACATCGAGATGCAAAAGGCGGCTCGCATGGTCCCCCAGGACTGGTGGCTTGTGCCTGACCTGTCGGTGAAGTCAGACCGAGTCAGGGGTTTCTGCCAGCTCACCACCCACCTTATGCATCACTATTTACTTATTCAGCTTCACCTGCCGTTCATCCTACCGTCGCCCACAGAGGTTAGGCAAGACTACAGCATCTTCACGTGTGTCCACGCAAGCCGAGAGGTTCTGACCCGCTTCATTTCCTTCCACTGCCTCAACGGTGTGACATTCAACTTCTCCCGCCTCTACTTCTTCGCCCTAATCGCCATCGAGGCCATCCTGCTGGCGCACATCAACAGCCGGAGCTTTCGGGACTGGGGCGACATCCTCGCGCACCAGCGGGCAAACGACCGTTCGGTTGCGATGCAGGTATTGAAGCACGTGGACAGGGCGAGCGAGATTTGCCCCGAGGTGCGGTACGAGAAGAGTGCCAATATCCTCCGCCAGCTCCTGCAGATCGAGAATGAAGCCTACGAGCAGTGCAGCCTCGAAGGTCCGGATACGCAGGGCACGCAGAATGGGCTGCGGGTGAGCGTGCCTTTCTTTGGCATTGTTACTGTAACGCGGCAAGGGATCATTAAGTCTCAAGGTCCCATCATCACTCCGGTTCAAAGTTATGTGCCGCAGAGCTTGGGTCTTGAACCTGGGCGTCAGGGAAACCCTGCACAGCCCTTTCCATATGCCACGGGGATGGAGACAAACAATTCAGCAACGAGCCTGAGCAATGATGGCCATCGGCTCTTTCCAGACTCGAGTCAGGCACGAACCGGTCTGGATCATTCGGACTTTTTGATGGAGGAGGTCTTTCCGGGTGTAGACACAAACTTTTTTGATAACATAGTAACTGAACCTTAGTTATCCATCCCTCCTTCCATTCACATCCCCCTGCTTCAAAGTTTGAACTGCCTGGCTATTTTCTAACTCCCCTCCTTCCTTCCTTCCTACAAAGCTCCACATCCGACGGCTGCTTCGTGTGTAAAACACCCCGGGCTCATTCACTTGGGCCACGACTCAAAATTACACTTCATCATACAAGCCTTACTCTATCAGAAGCACCAAAATATTACTTCCAGTACGATATTGTACAGCTTAGCTCTCCCTGTGTTCTTGTTCAAACTGACGCAAGCGACGCAAATCACTCAGAGCCCTGCAGCCTCTTCTCCTCAACATCAGCATCAATCACGACGAAGCGCTGAATCTTCTGGATGTCGGCGAGTTGACTCCGGTCCTCGAGATCCAAGCCCTCAAAGACGCTCGAGTCGAGAATCAGATTGGCCACGAACTCGCAGTCCTCGCTGCCCGCATTCTCCGAGCGGACGTGATGGCATCCTGGTGCCTCATACCAGCTCTCGCCGGGCCCGTATATCTTGGCACCGCTGCTGTGCTCCTGCTTCTGGCCGGTCACTGGGTCGAAGTGTGTGTGTACCATCTGGTTGAGAACATGGCCTCGGATGACCGTGGCGACGACGGCGGCACCGGCGTGGGTGTGAGGGGGCGTGGCTAGACAACGCCGCGGGTTAGTGTATCATGGGAGTTGAGGTACGGAAGGGTGGGAAAACCTCACCTGCGTTTGGGGGTCCGGAAACGAGTACTCCTGTCCATGTCTTGCCTGGCAAGTTACTGGGGTGGTGGAGGTGGGAAAGCGTGACATTGAACATCGGTCGCCTGCCGTGGTTGTTAGAGATGGTGCTGAACGAGGTTGGCGGTATACGTACCCTTCAACCACCCATAAGCCGTCCTTCTTGACCACCTTCTGGTCTTGCCACCGGAGATTGAGGTCGACGTTGGGGAACTCCATTGTTGACGGGTTGATACGCGGTCGATGGGAGAAAGTGTTCGTGAGGTGTTGTTTAGAACAGGTAGAATTCGATGCCGACCTTAGGTCCTTTAATATGAGTTCATCTTCATGGCCAACAATTCGTACCCGATGATGACGATCCCCAACAATTGGCAATGAGCATTCCCGGACCTCAACGTTCGGGTTTGCAAGTCTTGTGGAGGATGACCAAATGCCGGGTCCCCGAGCCTCGATTGAGTACCCGCAGTTGACTGCAGATAGCCGGGCTGGACTTTCGCTGCTCCAAGTCACTACACTCGCTGGGGAAAGCCACCTGAAGAATATTCCGCAGCACTGAGGATAGGGCATTAGCGATCGTATAGGCCCGTGGCCCAGTGGCCAACTCAGTGGCTGTTCAGTACATATCCGAATGTGATCTAATTACGTCACTCTTTCTTAACGATAACACACCACGCTGTGATGTAACGGTGAGCACATCTCCCCGGATAGCCAATGCTCGAGTCCAGATGCATAGCCTGTTGGATTTAGTCAGTTATTGGCTTGACATTGCTATTTCCCGCCGCTATCTAGTTCACGAGTACACGCAGCTGACCGGGTTCTCCTCGCTGTACACAATCCCGCCCCAAGCCGTGTAGCCCTCGGGCAAATCGTCGATCTCGCTAATAAACATCTGGTAGATATCGTCCGGTGTTCCCGTTGTGACATTCGCCCATCGTCTAAAACGCTTCCCATTCAGCCTCACTTCATTGGTAGTCCTGTCAATCGCCCAGCCGCTGAGCGTGCTTCCCTCCGGGGCTTCCTCGCCCTCTGATATGTATCCCAAAGCACCCAGTACTACAGAGCATCCATCAGTTACATATTATTTAAGACAATATCCAGTCTTTGCGTTATTATCTAAGAGAATATCCAGTCTTTGCGTTCGGCAGACTTACACTCGCCATTGGTGCCGTAGACTTGCTGGCGCCTTCTACCCTTGGAGTAGAGGAACAGTTCATCGCCCTTCAACGTGAAGGTTGCATAGTCTTGCTTAGCGCTTTTCTAGCATCTGGCCTCATTGTTGGGTTTGTTGGCGAAGATGCTCCTTCCAATTGCTGTGAATTTAAAGTACATTTGCGGTCCATTGGGGCCAGTCAAAGTGTCAAGCGTGAAGGCTCGCCGGCTATGGTCTGGGCTAGGCTCGGCCAGAATTAAGGGAACAAAAAGAAATGAGATGCCGAGTTCAAACTTCATTTTCATGGGTTATTTGCAGGAGTATTCTGTTGAGTTGTGGAATAGGGAGTGAAAAGAGTGGTGTTGGAAAGAGTGTGTAAACTGTCTACGAGCATCTCTGAGCGAGGTTCGTTATTTGTATTGGGATAGCATCGAAGAGCACTATTTATATTAAGCAAAAGGTAGTAGCTAACAGAATGAAATGCATCAACATACGAAATACGAAATACGTGCGGCATGATGTCTGCATCATGCTTATACGCTAACATCAGCTCCCAGGGGTGTCCCAGGGCTGTGAGCTAGCAGCAGGCATTAAACTTGGTGTTAATGGAGCATCGCCAAGCATCTAATAGCAGTCACCTATACGAGGTGTTGCGAGTGTGTTGCCCTAGAAGGTTGTTGGGATATGTCCAATTCACCAGTTTTCCCCGACGAGTGTGCGAACTCACTTCTGATCCCACCCGCCGATATGGTCATACATCTTCCAACTAGTTATAAATCTCCTGGAATCCCTATTCGATCCGTCCAGACTTCATCTTCAAGGGAAAGGACCACGGAACTGTCCCGGCTAGTTCCTCTTCACTATCCAAAAAGTCAAATGCAGGTGCTCGCGCCGTTCTACTAGCCTGTTGCTTTGACAGAAACTTCTGGACAACGTGCATTGAGAAAATGTACCGGTCGATGAATTTCAGAATCCAGTTCTGCCAAGTTGCCATGGCAGTGGCGTTACCGGCCATCTTGCAACCTTCAATGACTAGCTCCTTGCGCGAGGCTTCATAAGCCTTGAATGCGGCCACTATTTGGGCTTTCTCTGGTTCGGCTGCCAGGTCAAGTGTTTCCGTGCGAGCCGCTTGTACTTCCTTGTTTAATTCGTTAACGAGCGCAACGACATCGATGATGCCGTTGTTGAAACCGGCGCCGGTGCTCGGTGTAAACTTATGCGCTGCGTCGCCTGCCAGCACGAGACGGCTGTCCCAGCTCCAGTGCTTCACGACGCCTTCCTCCAGGTTTACCAAGCCCGATTGTATGCGCGACTCGTAAGCGTCTCGGATGGTAAGGGCCTGGCCCGGTGTGAGTGGGAGATGTCCCCAGCGCCCAACCAAACCCTCCTCATCCTCTGTTGAATATCTGCAGCGATCGTAGGTAGGCTCGTCCAGGCGCTCATATATGCACATGACGATTGTATCTTCTCCCGCAAACAATTGAGTCGCCAGTTTCCCGCCGTGAGTCTCCCAAGTCGTCCCAGGTGGCAGGCCCTTTGTGGCCGGAAAGCGAGCCCACAAGCAGCGGTAAGTCGTCAGAAAAGGCTTCTCTTCGTTTAAGAACGGGGATTCGTTGTCGATTGCGAGCTGCCGCATGCGGTCTCGCACAAAACTATGGGCGCCATCCGCGCCGATGACCACGGATCCCTCGTACGAAGTACCGTCTGTGCATGTGATGCTTACGCCGCCCGTAGTAGTAGAAATGTCGGATACTTTCTTTTTTGTGTGCAGGTTGGGCAGGGTATCTGTTGGAAGCGACTGGTAAAGAACTTTGGTCAAGTCATGTCGGCTGATGACTCTGGGATATGCACCGAAGCTACACACTTTTGTCAGTAAATTTTAGCCTAGTGAGTAGCCCTGTTTCATATCTTCGACTCACTACTCGTTGTCACAGAGAAACCACTTCATACTACCAAGTCGGCGACCACTGTGATCCATACGGTTGATGATGTTGAGTGGGGAGCTGACTTCCTTCAGCTCGTCGAGTAGGCCTAGCTGTCCCAGAACCCGCATGCTCATGGGGACTAGGATCAGGTTGGATCCAGCGTCTATGACGAAGCTCGACCGCTGCTCGAGGATAATAAAATCGATGCCGGCTTGTGATAATGCGTGGGCGCACGACAGCCCCACTGGGCCACCACCGACAACGATGACTCGGAAGTTGCTTGGTCCCATGGTGAGTATTTTCGTTCTTTAGATAACTTGAGTCGTCCGTTAATAATTATTTAAACTGCTTCTTGGTCGATTTTTGGTGAAGGATGGTCTATTAGAAAGTTGTGACAGCGTTTATGAAGTCGGCCCGGAGTTGCAAAACAGCGAGATGAAAGAGAGTTAATCATATCGACTTCGCATGAAATTCTCACCCAAAATCGTACTTGCCTTTATATTTAGAGAAATCGTACCAGATGGAATAAGCAACATATACTTGCCGTCTCGGAGCTCGGTGCAGAGTTGATGTTTGTCTTCGCGTTCGGCCTTACAAGATGGAAGACGCTGCCGTTGTGTCTACAGCTGACAGGGTTTGTGATTGGTCCCGTTCTGCATTCACGCTAACCCATTTTCGTGTTCATCCTCACCAGCCAATCACTGTCCGAGGCCTGGCTTCAAAGCCAGGTACTTCAGGATCCGCATTGTCAAGCCAAATGTAACATGCGGATCGTTTTCTGACAACGCTAGCCATTTTTCGTGTTCCCTCGCTTCTACAACATAATCCCGAAATCTCTGGATCTTGACACCGATATGATGCTAAGAAATTTCATGGCAAGTGACTGATCTCTCTGACAGTGCGCGCTAGGTACGTACCTTCTGTGGGTGGAAATTGCCTACCCGGTACCCTCCTCCCTGGACTATGCTCTGACATTGATGGGAAGGGGGTGGTGGCTGGTGGAGCTACTGCTGCGTGACCGAATTCGCAACGGCAGCAGTTCTGCACATTTGTGGTATTTCGGAGTTTTGGTAATTAATGTGTAAAAATTAATGTCTAGGACGAGCATTATTGAATTCCCGTGATTATGTAATCTGCGCCTCAGCGTGTCCCGTGTTTATTGCGATGGGTCTACTGAGCACAAGGCCAGAACAGTCGCTGCCAGTGCCGCAATCCAGTCCCTATCTAGCGTTGAAGAACTTTCTTCTTATTTGAAATACTCAAATAACTTTGAATTCTCTTTTACCTTCCTACTTTTCTTTTCTCTATTTTCTGGAGACCCCTACCTCCAACAACCCAAAGGAAGTAATTGCTAAGCTACAGGTTTTACTAAATTAAGGGTAGAGGTCTTGTCTCCATCGCCCTCAGACAGGTATGGGACCTAGGTCTAGGGTAGGATCGCTTCATTGTCAAGATAGAGTGAACAGGCCGAGAAACAACCAGAACTGGAGAGGCCCCGCAAATTTCCCAAAATGGAGACTCTGGAAAATTCCAGTAGACACCACTAACTTCTAGGGCCTTCAGTGCTATAGCAATACTAAGCTGGTGCATTCGAGATGCTTCACTTTCCTGGAAACGACAACATTCTCGAAGCTGCCTGAAATAATCACCTCGAGTATAAAGTGCTCCCTCCAGCGCCGCTCTCTGACCCAAAAACTTCACTCAATCACATCATCATCATCGAACACTTCAACGGTTCTCTTCTCTAAGATAACTCCAGCTACAACAATTCTCAGTCGCAACCAGACTTCAACAACTCAAACCCATCAAAATGGCTTTCTTTCCACGAACCTTCTACAATACCGAGGCCTCATTCACGCCTCTCTTCCGCTTGCTCGACGACTTTGACACCTACTCTCGCAGCGGAAGCAACTCAAATGGCACCACCCGTTCAAACATCTCGCACTGGCAGCCCAAGTTTGACGTTCGCGAAACCTCGGACGCCTTCCACTTCCACGGCGAGCTGCCAGGCTTGACCAAAGACGAGATCTCGATCGAATTCCCAGAACACCAAAGCATGACTATCCGCGGCAAGACCGAGCGCACTTATAGCTCGGGCACCCCGCCTGCAGGCCTCCTCGAATCCACCAACAAGGACACGCCTGCTGTGACCGAGGCTGGCGAGCGCCGCAACTCACACCAAGCCACCGTTGAAGACGAGGCTAACGTCGAGAAACCCGACAACAAGGCAGTTGCTGCTCCAGAAAACGACAACAGCAACGCAGTTGCCAAGGCGGATCAGTCTGCAGCTCCGGCTGACAACTCCAAGTACTGGATTACCGAGCGCAGCATTGGCCAGTTCTCGCGCCATTTCAACTTTCCTTCCCGCATTGACCAGGATGGTGTTACCGCCAGCTTGAAGGATGGAATCCTGACCATTGATGTGCCCAAGGCTAAGAAGCACGAATCTCGCCGCGTCGCTGTCAACTAAAACCTCCTTTTCCTTCACGCTGAGCACTTAATCGCTCCGTGCCAAATTGTTGCATTGCCGCTTGATAGATACCTAAGTACCTACTTAGTTTAATGAATGATGAATAATTTTGTTCCAAAGCTCGATAGTGTTCCTACCTAACCTCCTGTGAAGTGCTCTGACCCCTTGTAAATGCTTTATTGAAGCTATTCACCCAGCCGAAATGAATTCAATGCAATTGACAAGGCTAGGAAGGGTAGCAAGTGACTGTCAGAAAAAAAGCTACTGCAAACCTACATTGACAGAATTATTGTTGCTACCAGTGCTGTAATAATACTTCCCATTGGGTAAAATTTAGCTAATATTGCCCAACAGCTGCTCAATAATATCTTTTTCCTTTCAACTTTTGTCTGTCAATATCGTGGCGTTTACTAGCACGTCGGGATCGAAATCGGGATCGAAACCTTCTTAAGTCCCTGTAGGTAGGCCGTAGATCCCGTAAACTATTTCCCCAATGTGCTATAGAAATCGAATTTAAGCTGAGGGCAGCTGTTAAGGTATACCAAGTTCTCCATCTTGGATTTTCAGCAACCTATGAAGATCTGCTCTTTCTACCAGTTTTATGGCTTTGAGGTTGGACACATCTCTATTCTATTCATTATGAATGTCTACTAACTCATTTGTCTAGTTTCTATAGTTATACAAACACCACATCCTTAGCAATCAGATCACCAGATGTGATGTAGTAGCACTCACCGCCGCTAAGCTTCCTAATGGAGGATATCGACTTGCTGCAGCGAGGCCATCATAATCGGCGCTATCTCTCTCTGTGTTGCCGTGGTTTCGCGAGGAAGCTGAAGACACTGATGGAGGAAGGGGAAAGAAAGGAATAGGCAAAGAGAGAAAAGTAGGCCCCCCCTGATGAAAGCTAACTTTTCAAGCGTAGAGACGCCTAAGAAGTCTTGAACGGAATTAATTGCTCTCGGAAGGGAAGCATCGATACACTGCTGGTTTCTGGTCTCCCTGACTGAACTATCATAGGAACTGGGCGAGAGTTCCCGTAGGAGAAATTTGCCGTATGCTGCAGCCGTAGCCGCAGCGTACTCTTGCCACATTTCATTCTTGTATGCATATGCGTAGTCACATATACCGCGAATGACGAGACTAGGGAGTATGTTCATAACCCCGGCAGCCTCCATTCCGAAGCACTTAACCTCGTATTGACTTGCCAATAAATAATCTCGTAACTGGGCGTCTCTTATTACTAGGTTTCCAGAAGCGATCAGACCATAGTGTATCTCGGGTGCATTTGATTGTCGTGGTGCCCTGAGTCTTGAATGGATTTCCCGACTGCCACAGTCTTCTTGTGCCACACACTGAGAACAAACTTTGTTGAAAAGCCTATCACGTTCACGCCCAGGATGCTGGTATCGCGAGCGAAGCTGGTCGGGAATGCCGTCGAAAACCTCTTTTGAACACGGCCCGAGGGGGTTGTTTTGAAACCGTGCATTTGCTGCAAGAGAGCTAACTGCAGTCCTCAGAAACCTTGGCGGTGGTTGAAGAGCCCCCGTTCGTTGAAAAATATGATCTTCACACGCTTTGCCTCGATCGTACTGAATGACGCCGGGATATGTCTTGGTTGGCATGCTGACAACTACATCTCCGAGTCGGATATCATGAAGATGAGAAGGCGCGCCGCCCCCTATTCCAATAACAAGGCAAAACTTGACATTCGGAAAGCTTCTCTTCATGTTTGAGGCGGCTTCTGCAGCCGCGTTAGTTCCATATTCCCCAGATGGAAGACAAGCCACGACAACCATATGCCAACCAATTTGTCCTAGCGAATAGTGGTTACTATCTCCAAGCAACGGTTGGTTTGGTTTGCCATGATCTCTATCAAAGATCGCCCTGACAGCTAGATATTCTTTTGGGAGAGCACAGAGTATTCCGACCTTGTATTTTGCCGGATGTCGATTGTCGTTCTCTTCAGCGGCGCCAACGTTATCTGCACGAAGTTAGCTGCATCCAACATATATAGCCATGGACCACGAACCAGAGTTTAATAAACTAATATCACGATCATCGTGCCGGACTCTGCCGTTATCTGTAGCTTTGTAATGGCTTGTAACACTCAAAAACCGCTGGTATTTTATTACCAAGCCCCAGATGCTGATCTCTAGTCGGCTCGCAAGTTGCTGGGCGCGCATGCTTTGAAATATTGACATTTCGCTGCGTTCTTCATTTGAAAACACATCACTCAATCTGAAACCGCCACTTGGTGAAGAGTTAACATCCGGCGCGGGCAATAAGAAAGTTGACATTTGGCCACCTCTAGAATCGCCATGATCCTCATTTGTTAGACAATGATTGACATTGCAAGGGCCTAGCAACTCGCCAGCCTGCCCGGAATCACTTCGATGCGCTTTGACTGGTATAAAGGCACTATGTACACCTGTCTCAGACGTATTGTTGGTTGGAATTTTGATTACGGCTTCCGAAGCACCGACTTCTGGAGATGGGTTGGTGATGTTGATATCATTTCGCAAGCTGCCATGCCTCAGATCTGAGCTAGCAAGATCTTTCATAGATTTAGATTTAACGGATTCGCCACTGTAAAGATATTCGATACGCTCCCCATCCTGTATGAACTCGATATGCCAAAGTCGTAGCTAATCCGAGGATGGCCGGGGTCCTGAAGAGGTTCCTGTTAGAATTGCTTTGCACAACGGTTGACTTCCCCTTACCGGCAACGAGCTCTCGTTTCAGACAAATTTCTTTACCAACATACCGTCGGTGCGCCTTCTTTATCTTTTTCTCCTCGAGAATATGATCGCCAACCATCACTCGTGGTTTTAATCCTCGCTTTCCCAGCTCATCATAGATTGGCAAGATAACCTCCCAATCACATCTCTTCAAATTCTTGAAAGCACCCCAACCTCTGAAAGCCGATTCATACTGGGAACGTCTAAGCACTAGTCAGCCGATTTTACATGACTTGGCTAATGGATTCACTGTTGAAATGGATGTCGATAGATAATCGTTTATGAATCCGGTTTGAAAGTTGAAGCGCAAAGGGGTCAGTTTGAACAGACTCACGTTGCGACAAAGTTGTACTCTTCTTTCATAATATGCGTTATACTCCGTGCATTGGCGCTGGTTCCTTCTATAGGCAGATTATCCTCGAACTAGAGTCGAAGAATGATCCCTTTGCGGCGTTGCCACTCTTCCGGTGGAATTGTCTGGTGAGCAGGAACCATAACTTGAATTCCTTACTGAGAAAATATCCGATGGCAAACTCTATTGCTCCATGCCAGAAGCAGCAGAGAATGCGTGCCTGGGCTGTGCCTTTTACCTTCATTTTGGCCGAGAGGATGCTGGTGCCGGCGTTTAGAGCCTCATAGAAAATTTTCCTGAACGCCAAGTATTGCCAGCAGATTTTGCCGCAGATTGCCTTGACATTTGTGTCGACAAATCACATATTGCCGCGTATTGTTTGGTCGCCTTGCCAAATGTCACTGCTGACAGCGAATATGGGTTCGGATGAAAAACCCGTACCAACCCGCGTCATCACGCATCTATCGCTTACCTGCCGTTTCCAATACCGAACTGCAGGATAGGCAGTAATAAGGCATAATGAATGGTCAGCTGAAAACACCCATGGTGATAGACCCAATACATAATTGGGATCAGATCAGGCAACCCCCCTAAACAGATCGGAGACACCGAAGGCCTGACAGTCATCATCTTTGAGATACACTTTCGCCAAGAACTTTTACCTAAACGATTCAAATTTCATCAACGCATATCATGCGTGTATAACTCAAGAGAGCGTTCAACATTTACCGAATGGTCATTTCAATTCGTAAGCTAGGTACTCCTATCAGGAGGATGTATGCAGGGATCATTGTGCGTTCCTTAAAACGGAGAGTGTAGCTGATCTGACTGAACAAAGAGGAACTATATGCTGAAGGAGATTATGCAACTTCCCCTTTTTTTGTTCTCCTTTTAAGAAAACAATAGTATGTTGAATGTGCGGTAGAAATATTTGTGTGTTGGGGTTGTTTCGGCGTTGTTAATCAAGCAGCACGATGCGGAACTATATATGAGGGGCTTACAGTGGTTCAGTATATTTCTATGAGATGGCTCGGTATGTGGTAAGCAAAGCTTGGTATCTCCAGGATCCGAGATACTCTGGAGGAATCGATTTGCGGATTGAATCAGATACTGTTTTCTTAAGAGAACATGTCTTGTTTCTATGGTTATAAAGACCTGATGTCTCTAATTTACCAAAAGCTGTTGTTAACCTGCTACGGTCCGAGAGGAAGTTATACAGCTCGGGGAATAGACCCGCGTTGATTGTATCTATATCCGTGATAGCACCTTGAGCTGTCTATCGCTTTCGAGGAGAGGCTCCAAGTAGGAGGTTGTCAACATGGATGATATTCTGTGGGGCTAGGAACGAAAGAAGGACGAGCAGAGCCTTGCCGTCTTCAAACTGGACTTGACGGAGTTTAGAAATCGACTCTGATAGGGCTGAAAGCGCTGGATGTTGAAGCTTTTTAGTCCCTATTCCTACTTTTTGCGGCGATCTTATCGTTTCAGTCTCTTGGTTGCTTATGTTGGGAGGAGAAGATGCTGGAAGTCCATGGGCGGCGAGTTGTGTCGTTAATCTAGGTGTTCTATCACGATTCACTAACGAAAATTAGTCCAAAAATACACTCGAGGTTTGGCGCTCCATCTCTTGTACGATTGGATCAACTGACTTTTGCTTGTGATACAAGTTGGCAAACGCGAAGCACGGTGTTCAACGTATCAGTTGTTGTACATTAAACTGATGCTTCGTTCGATTCTTTCAATGGTGAGTAAGACCCGGATGAAAAAGCTGTGGCTTTTGTCGCCTCCGTGAATACCAAGATTGAGTTTGCCTCTGTCCAATATTCCAAATGCTGCGCCAGAACAGCCAAATGGCTGGCCGTGGATGACCCCGGCGGGAGGCGGCTAGTCGTAAAACGCTGAAGATGGGAGCTAGACTTTTCCGTGGAGGAAATTGAAGATCTGAGGAGCGTTCAGAGCGTATTGTTGTTCGAAGACGCGCGAAGCCTTCGCCGAGCGCGTTGGGAGTATCTCGGCCTGGTGGGTAAGCACGAATAAGGATCACACTAGAATCAGGCATGACGGAGGGTCAGGGTACCAAATTACCTCGCTATCGTTGATATCGTAATCTTGTCTAGCTTGGAGCCTGTCAGGCAATGAACACCTTTGCTCGTCGCATATCTTGGGATGGTAGGATCAGACTTAGTCACAGTTTGATGTTGGAATGAGCGACCTATGTAGGCAATCTGAAGGTAGGTAGGTAGGTAATAATGGAATACAATCACGTGATATTGCTGTTCGTACGTGTACACCTTCTGTACAAAGCTGATCCTTTTCTCACTGCGTCTAAGGCCTAGTGCCAGCCGTTATCTGTTATGGTATACTCTTGTGCCTATTATTCTATTCGCGCGATGTTTGTTAGATCAACATGTCGGATTTGTTACCTTCAAGATTCATCTCGCGATTAACCGCGGGGCGACCGCCTCGGTGTTTAAGCTGGATGAGAGCATCGGGCTCAAGCATGCTCATAAGGGGCGGCCCAAAGAATTCCAGGCCTAAAATAACATGTAAGATCTCTTTGAAAGGCACGGATCATCGCTATACATTGTGTATAGCTTCTTCCGGCTCCCCGGGCTGAATTTCATGCAACTAATGGCCTCTGGCTTTGACCAACGTATTTACAGTGCCCATCGCCGTGACGCCAGAAATTCAAGTTGCCTCGAAGTTCTACGCCTGGAACCAACACCAAAGGTCGCACACCGGGCCAGGGAGTTATCTGGCGCTCTCGCTTGGTTAGATTCCTTGGGACTGGTCCAGGGGCTTGAGACCTCATAACATTTTGCTCGATGTTGATGGCCATCTTGAACTGGCTGACTTCGACTGTGTCGCCAAGGTTGGCTTAAGAAACCCAGGCATTCCTCCTCCTTGGGCACGTCTGGTGCTTTATAACCTCAAGCGTAGAAAGCTCCCTTCAGCGAAATTCTACATTACTTCTTCTCGCGGCCATCCATGCTTTGCTTCCATCGCAGGGGTATTCGTTGTGTTGAGATGTCAGGCCCGGCATGTTCTGTTATTGTCTTTGACCTGACACTCAAACTCTCCCGTTCTCATAACAGGGATAATTATTCTCCTAAGCTTTGTACGTTTGACGCTCAATCTCCTCCAAGACAGGGTGGCTCGCAGCGTAGCCATGGTAATTTCAACGGCGAACTCAAAATTGATCAAACGATAATTCAGGCAGTTTAATTTTCAATAAAGTGAATATCTGAGCTCCTTTCACCAACATAATGCCCTGATATATTAAGAAATGAGAAGGAAAGCCTAATTACATCCTGTAATTTGAAGCGCAGAGAGCTGCTCTTCAAGGAAATGCGCATTGCTCTTCTTCATAACCCATCCATGGCGCCTCTCCTTTTTCTTCCTTCTGTGATTGTATTCGTCGAATTCCTCGCGCTTCTCAAACCCGCTCTTCTCCAATACACGGTGGCACGCCACATTGTCATAGGTCGGATTACCAGCCAGGCACTCATCCTTGATCTCACTGTCACCGTAAACCGTGTTCACGAGCACTCTGATCACAGCCAACTTCCGTGGCAGTCTCCGCCACATGTCCACAAACCCCTCCAAGAACTCGGTCGCATACCCTTGACCCCAGAGATCACTCTTGATTACGAAACTCACTGCCGGCCAACCGACAAATTCAGGGCGACAAGAAAGACCCCCGTATCCGATAAACTCCCCGTTGGACTTTAGGCAGATCGCATAGGCCAAGTGCTCGGAGTTCAATGAAGGATCGGCAAGAAACTCAAGATCGTGGACGTACGTTTCTTTCAAGTTGGCATCGACCCTTCCTCGAGGGCTCCAACGCATCACCTTTTCGTCCGTGCGCAAAGCGTGAAGTGCCGCCAGGTCGTGGCTGTCATTCTGCAAAGGTCGCAGCGTGAGGCGGCCGGTGGTTGTTGTCTTTCGCTCGCTATGCGGCGGCAGCCGTGGCAGGGTGGTCTTGATTGTGGACCATCGTTTGGCTTCGGCTGGACCCTTGCGCCAGGTCCCAAAGGACGATGAGTGCGAAGTAGGTTTGCATCGAACAAGGCAGCTTTTAACGGGAAAGAGAATCCGCCGTCGTCTGATGGTGGCGTACGCGCGAATGCGTGCAGTGGCTGACAAATGACCGCGGTTGCCCATCTTCGTCAGCGAGTAATCTTTCCCAGGTTTGGAGCTTCTTGAATCTATGCCGGATCTTTCTGGAAAGTTTGGGATGATTGTAGAATCAACATCATTGAAGTGAATGAGGGAAGTATATATGCCATTGGGATAGCTTACTAAATTAGAATCCCTGTTGCTTTAAGCAAAGGGTATATGTCTACTTACACATTGGCACATAGACGGCCGTTCCAAGACAATGGCCCTTTTTTTGCAAACTAGCGTGTCCAACAAACGGGGGAGCCTGCCAAGGTTGAAACGCGCAATACGGTACAAAGAGCTGCGATCGAAGTCTCCAAATTGAGACAAAGGTTTGTAGAAAATCTTCAAGGCGGAATCCTGCCAGATTTTGATGGGATAAACAAACCGCCTCTTGTTTTCTGCTCTTTGGAAGGTGGCGCAGATGTTTTGGTTGGAAAGGAGGACTTGTTTATTTTTGTTCAATAGTTTCCATCAGGGATATCATCCTCAACTCAGAGTAAATTAGCCATTGAAACTTTCCAACCTCTTATGAATAACTACGATAGCAATGTCTCTATATAGAATCCCTTGAAACATCTCCTTGTCTACAGAGCTTCTCTCATAACATGAACAATGATTTCTCGGCAATAATAAATACAAATAGACATACTAAAGAACGTAGATACATCATTCATGGGACAGGATAGGAAACAACAAAAAAACAAGAGATCGTAACTAATGGAGGACAAGGCGATCAGAGTTGTCCTTGAAGCGCCCCCCAAAATGGTGGGACCTGTAAATTTGGTATCTTAGGTTCTACATCTTTGGTGAAAACAACCATCTCGCAGTAGATTAGCTTAGTTTTCAATTTCAACAATTAAGCTGGTATATTCAGTGTCTGCTAGAGGACTGAACGTAATCTACGGCAAAATTCGGACGGAAGCCCACCGGAAGAAACTCACGTTTGTGACCTTCTCAGCCATTGGTGAATGTGGTGAATATCTCATTACCAAGGAGGTATATTTTGTCCTGGTAAGCTCCGACAGAAGGGAACTACTTAGTTAATGCCCTGATGAAGTGAAGGATATTCGAAGAAATCTGTTTGATATAGATCCCGTTGCACTGCCCCTTGGCCCATCGACCCCTTTGGAATCATAATACATTCATCTCTTGTAATTTCGTTACCAACTTTGATAAATCCTTCTCAAGTCACGTGGGATTAGTTGTCGCAGGGTTGTTGTAGCTTGAAACCTGGGTTCTAGCTCAAAATATTCGCCCCCACTCAGTGGTTTTCATTGCTTCAACATCTCCAGGGCTCAAAAATCTTGAGCTCGCTGCCAAGCTTCAAGAGAGGATGGCCGTCGATGCTGCATACAAATATACGGCTATCGCCGCCCCAAAAACTATCCGTTTGATTCGTATTTCTCCTGGCATTGAGACCGATCCTGTCCGTTTCTCTCTGGAGACTTCCCCACTGGAATCCGCTCCCGATTATGAAGCAATCTCATACTGCTGGGGCACTGATCAAGACCAGCATCAAGTCGAATGCAACGGGAAGCCTCTTTCCATGCATAAGAGCCTCTTCGGAGGTCTCTCATACTTCCGCTTCCCGGACAAGACCCGCGTCCTCTGGGCAGACGCGGTTTGCATCAACCAAGCGGATCCAGTTGAGAAGAGTAGCCAGGTTCTCCTGATGCCACACATTTACTCTCAAGCTACACGTGTGTTGGTTTGGCTTGGTGCTGCCACTGACCCTGACTTGGGGTTCGTCCCCTCTCATACGAACGAAACAATACTTCAAGGCCTTGAGATGCTTCCCAGCTTTGATTTTGAGGATGCAGCCGACATGGCAGCCAAGACGCAGGCTATATCCTACGACGCGCTGCGCCTACGCGCGGAGGGTAAGCCCAATCTCCTGGATCACGACTGGGCACCGCTGGTAGCGTTGTTGCGCCGGCCATGGTTCCGCCGCAAATGGGTTGTTCAGGAGGTCGCGCTCGCAAAAGATGCCCGACTCTATGTTGGCGGCGGGGTTGAGATTCAATGGCTGGATATAGCAAGGCTCGCATTCAGCATGGACTCGCTAGGGCTTGATAAGCCCTGGAGATTGAAGCTTGAAAAGCCAACGCTGGACAGCGACGACGAGAAACCTGATCCGGGGAAAGGAGGCGCTGTTGAGTTTCGTCCGGTTTACGTGACGTTCTCCCTGATCAGTTCAATGTACATGGTTCAAATATACAGACAGCACGCCACCCTAGTAGATGGGGTCATGACCACCAAGTACTTCGACTGCACCGATCCAAGAGACCACGTCTTCTCGCTTCTGGGTCTGGGTGCTATTGGTGCGACGATTCGCCCTGACTATGAGGCTTCAGTCAGCGAGGTCTTCCGACGTTTCGCAGTTTCCATGATGATCGAGGGGAATAGTCTGAAATTGCTTAGCCTAGCCCCTGACAAGGCACTCTTTGAAGTCCCAGGAGTGCAACGGCTCGAGGACCTGCCCACTTGGGTTCCAGATCTGCGTCTTATGAGGGCGGATGTCATGGCTAGTTTCACAGTCAGGCCACAAGGATTCTTCGCAGGTGGGCATGGCAATCCGGTACTAAGCGTATCCGACGATGAACGCCTCCTCCACTGCCAAGGTTTGTTCGTTGACAACCCTCAAAAATTTGCTACGCCGCTGGTTGAAATGCTTCTGGAAGATATCCCCGAACTTCGCACTTCATGGGAAACTGCGAGTGACCCATCGCCGGAGCGAAGGGAGAGACGCTTCATCCGATGGCTTGAGAGCGCCTACCAGACGGCATTTGGCAACGATCGCGCCTGCGATCTACAACCAGACACCGTGAATTCCTTCTCGCGTACTATGTCGTGCGGGACAGACCCCCTTCGCAACCGTCTATCGCCAGAGCAAGTCACCACAGTGTGGGACTTCATCCAGTGGAAACTAGATCCTGATGCCAACAAGGATGAAGCCACAAAGCGGGAGTCGATGAATTATTCAAGTACCACCCGGGACTCCCTTCTTCTGCTGACATTCGGCGCCAAATTCTGCGTCACCGAGGCAGGCAGATTTGGGCAGGTACCGCTCGATTCGAAACTAGGGGACCGAATATGCGTCTTGACTGGCGGCGAGGTGCCCTTTGCGGTTCGTCCGACAGGTAGCGGAACTTATACACTTCTCGGAGAGTGCTATGTTGATGGCATAATGGATGGGGAGGCTTTGGAGGAAGCATCTTCGAGAGGGATGCCCCTTGAGACTATCATCTTAGAGTAGTAGATGCATCAAAATGATAACTCTTAGTAGCGCCAGTTTTAGAATGGGTTCAGCCATCTATCGACTTCGTGTCTCGGATCCTCTTACGCGGTCGCCCTATTCGAATCATTGTTGTGCCCCAAATATTGCGTTGGGGTTTGACGAAGAAACTAAGGTAGATTAGCAGTAATTGTCAAGGACAGCCGTCTTGGGCGTGGGAGTAAGTGCGAGGTGGTGCCTTAAAATTATGGCAGCTATCTTTCCCTCCTTCCCAACCCGAACTCCATGATCTTGAACTTCTCTTTTGCATGCAAAAACAAACGCATGCAACACCAATCCTTGTTCCTTTCCTTGGCAAGGCACACACTGCTTCCGATCAACCATCAGCATCTTCATTTTCGCAACACAATCAACAACAACACAACACACAACCACAAGAGATTGAATACACGCACTTTATTGACCCAAATAAGCACGTGTTATTCGCCGTGTGCGTTTGAATCCGAGACCACTCCTCTCACATCGCGGTCCGACTCCTCATCGCTAAACCTTTGTTTTCCTCTGGGCTTGTCAAAGTCAGAGCGAAAATGCACACGACAATGTTCGACGCATCCGATTTCTTTCTCCAGGTGCCCTTCAAAATGATGGATTACAACCGAATGGTAACAACAAGCCCTAGAGATCTAGAAATATCTAAGGTAGCAATCATGGGATTCAAGGATAGCCCATCCTGCGCACAGAGGTTACTGGAGGACCGATTATTACATCATGTAGGTACTCCCTCCTCTCCAGAAACCCTCTAGTTTTGTTTTGTACCTTGTGAATTGTTCGCCCATGGGTTCAGCGTTGTTAATCTTCACCTTCTAGAGTTTTACACTCAATCGCCTTCTTTTTCCGACACTTCTTCCAAGTTCACAATCATCGCCCACGCTACTAATCTTCTATGAAACAACACAAGAGGACAAGCCAGAAGCATGACCTCGGAATCCGCCTGAAGCTTGCTTCCTGTTCCGACCTGTACAGAGTTTCAACTCTCCAATATTACGCTGTAAGCTACTGGCCGATCCCGTCAGAGACGGTTTAGTCCACCGACTAATGGATTCCTCTGCAGCGGAGAGGGCTCTGTCTAGACAATTTGACCGCAGGTACAACTGAACGCAAAGCTAGATATTGGTTATCAATGAGTCCATCGATACTGTGTCATGGTACGGGATCATGATGGCCAGAAGTTTGTAGGCGCTAATCATGGTCTTGTTATTAGGACACGAACTTCCTTGACCTCACCATCCATCCCTAAAGAGAACCGACAGCCCTCCCCACCTCTCCCCCAAGCAAGTACCAAGGGGTCACTCTTCTTTCAAGTACCCAAAAGCCCTCTTGGCGATGCATACTGAACAGTATTACATTGAGCGAGAATGAAAATCTTATGTGGTCAGTTAGGGGCATGTTCTGGAGAATTTCGAGCCACTTCCACAAACACTTCCACAAACGAGCTGCGCCTCCTCGTCGACACAACCAGAAAATACATCGATGGAGCTCCTGAGTAGCATGTCTGAATACCTGAGCACAATGTGAGAGAGTCAAAAGCTGTAGTCTCTGTTAAATTTCTCAAAATTATACGCAACGTTCTCACTTTTTGATTGGCTCTTCAAAATGTTCTGAAAGTGAAATAGTGTCAAACATCTTTAACATTGAGACTCTAAGAAGGGTTGAAAAACGGGACTGTCTTCCTTGCAGACCGTAGATTCAATGCCTGTGCACCTTATGACAAATAAATAAAACTCAGTCTTGTCTGAATAGTCGGTGCAACTTGTCATAAATTTATACAAGTCGGAGTAGAAGCAAGTCCGCCAGTAAGTGCACTCCGAGAATTTGCATTGGATATCACCCGCGGAACTCTATTGTAAGCATTCCTTCAGAACTTACAACTGCATGGAGTACCATTTTACCCCGGGACTCTGACAGCCGCAGCCTAGAATCCTTTATGTTATTTACTATACGACCCCTCGAGCCACCCTCCATCATGATACCAGACGGCTTTGGTGATGTATCGGCTCTCATCACCCAGCAAGAACGCAATAGAGGCAGCAATTTCCGATGGCTCCGCGAGGCGACCCTGAAGTAGGGTTGGAATATTATCCTTTGTCAGGTAGAACTGACCCGCTGGGCTATCGAACGGCTTCTCCATCATCTCTGTGTCAATACACCCCCTGGACGATAAGGTCAGTCACCCAAACCCAGAGTCATGAACCGCATCTTACTCACGGGCACAGGGCGTTGACACGAATCTTGCGTGATGCTGCTTCAAACGCGGCGACCTTGGTCAAGCCGACCAACGCATGCTTGCAGGCTACATAGCCGGCCACGCCAGCGCTGGCGTAGTTGCTCGTGATGCTGCCCACATTGACAATGCTGCCACCGTCTTTAACGTTTTTGAGTTCCTCTTTGAGACAGTTGAAGGTTCCAGTAACGTTGACAGCAAGGAGCTCATTGAAATAATTCATATCGAGATCCGTTATGGGATAAATGCTGCGCTGCTCCTTTGCTGCAACCCAGAAAGACGGACATTAGCAAGGAACAGCTTCTTATGAACGTATGGTCGGGACTCACCAGCGACATTGGCACATCCATCCAGAGGGCCCCATTTCTCAACGGTTTTCCCTATCCAGGCACTGATCTGGTCCGGTTCTCTGATATCACAGACAGTTGTCATTGCATGATCCTTGAACTCCGGAAAATCTCTCTCAATTCCGGCGAGTGCGCTGGCAAGGTTCTCCGCTGAGGTGGCACACATTGAAACGCGCGCGCCTCTGACAAGCAGATACCGTGCTAATGCCAAACCCGTACCGCGGCTGGATCCTGTGACGGCGATCACTTTGTCGTGGAAGGGGTGTGTACTAGCCATGCTACTCGAGTTGACGCAATTTATAATGACGCGGCGAAAGCGTGGGTCCTGCAAGTCCTGAGTAGATGCACATCGGTGACGAGCGATAAGTTGAAGGGAAATGAGGATAAGTGAGACCACAGTTGGCAAGCAGCCTCTATTAGTATCTCTAGGTATACCAATACCACGTTTAACTTAAACATCCACTTGTGTGCAGAGGAATAGGGACTACTGTGTAGACCTTCATTGGGAGAAATGGTACTAATCATCATACTGTCATTGCAATCTCTACAGCCAACATCGGTGTATAGATCCAGTTTGGGGAAGTGTTGGGCATAAGAATTTCAACCCAATGTGAGCTCTCATAATATTACCTTCATCAAATGGACTTTGTCGTCTCTATATCAGCTGATCTTTCCTTGTACGGTTTGACGTACGTTTTTAAAGGGGTGGGAACTGGTCAGCATGTCCCAAATAAGGTGATCCGCAGACTGTTGACAGACTGAGGGAGGCTGCCGAGGAAGCACGTTGATGACCGGTGATGTGGGTAATACGACATTCAGATCCCTGTCGAAAACTTAGAAACCCTCCATCTCATTGTCGGTCATAGCATCTACGGTCCGTTTTACCACCGGGAAGAACGTATGATTCCGCACCGTGGCAATGGACGTCGGAATGTAACATGGACTGCAAAAGTGTTCTGCCACGACGAACAATAAGGATCACAAGAAGAGGAAGAATGAATTATTGAGCAACAATATATAAATCCTATTATACAATAGGTAGCATTATTATGTGATTGACTGCCACAATAATTCTGAAATCCCAATACCGGGCTACCTTCGAAGCGAAGAACTGAAAACTCCGCCCCAATTTAGCAAGCAGCCCAACGAACCCTAGACATATCAGTGAGGAACGACAACTTCAAAACCGGAAACTTGTCTCATCAAAGAAAAGAGCGGCATGGTCCTCTTCGTATTCTCTCAGCTGCTGCATCTTGCGCTCTATCTGTGGCTCCATCTGTTCGCGCGCCTCATCGCTAAGCAGCTCAATACCATCTCCCCCTTCATGCAGTGCGGCCCAGTAGATGGCATCCACCGCGAAACCTTTTCTGGCGGCATAGTTAAACCAGAAGCGACCAGACCGCCATGAGTCACGCATCCGAGTGGAAAGAGGTGGTTCATGGAGCGTCTGCCCACCCGATGTACCTTCCACTGATTCCAACGCCTGCAGAAACTGCTCCATTCTGGGCTCATAAAGGTCGCGGAATTCTTCCATCGAGTCACGATCAAGCCATGCTTCTGGGCCAGATAATAACAGCCACCAGGGTGGATCATATGTGAACTGGGCCGGCATGGCGTTTGTGAACTCGAAATCGATGACTGCTTTGATCTGAAACGTCTCCGGATCAACAAGCATATTAGAGGGCTGTAGATCATCGCAGAAAGGTATGAACGGCCCATCGTCATCAATCAAGTACTGGTCGATAAGTCGAGTGAACCCATGGCGAGCAATAAACCGCGCCTGGGCAATTTCTCGGTCACCTGCGAGATTGCGCTGGGTGAAAAGGTGAGCCAAATGTTCATCCGAGATAGATTCGAAGTAGTCTCCAGCTTGATCAAAAGTTGAAGTTGGCAAGAGGGAAGTTGGGTAGCCTGCGACAGTCGCCGCCAGCTCATTCATATTATGAGTCAGTGGCCCTTTGGTAACGGACCACGTGTCGCCGTCTCTTGAGATGGCTCCAATGTGGGTGAATGTAAGTCGAGAAAGCTGAAGAAGATAATCAGCGATTTGCCGGTAGATCGTGTCCAATTGTGAGTTGTCGATGCTTGGGTTTAGGACTAGGTCCTGTTGGTCCCTTTCGGTTGGTTGCTGTAGGACCGTTGACAAGAGAGTACCCTCGACGTAGTCCATGATAATAAACGGACCAAACTGCTGGGGACTCTCTGCCGTCAAACCCCAGCTATAGACACGAGGTAGAGGGATCGTCGTATTTTGGCGGAGATATTCCATGGCCTGGACCTCATTCGCGACTTTCTCATCCCTTATAAAGGTAGCGGTTGGCCCTGGGCTTGGGAACCGGATGATGGTGTCCGGCCCTCCATCACTAAACTTGAAACGGAAGCTGATGTTGAGGGACCCTGTGAGGAAATCAACGTACTTTGGCGCTCTGCCTGTTCCCAGGCGGGTAGCGACAAATTCAGCTAGTTCATCTTCGGCACCATAAATCTTGGTTAGCCAGGCTCTACATTCATCTTCGCCTTCGGTCTTCTTAATTTCGTCGAAAGAGGGTTTTAGCGAGGATATGTTCTGCATTTTACAGACGTAGCTTTGGAAATGGCGTGGAGTGATTGAGGAATTGAAAGTAGCGATGCTTAGTACTTTTCGATCAATGTATGCCACACTTAGAGTAAACAACAACCCTCCGCGATATGGATCATCACTGTCAACGACACAAGCGTGTGGCATATGATAAGGCGGGGGAAGGATGAGGTCCTTTGGGGGCGGGGTAGTAGCATAAATGATGTGCTCACGTGTTTGTCTCACATTCTGCTTAGGTCCTCAACCTGAACACACATTGGGCACGAATTCTTGCATATACGAGCTATCCCGGGAGTCATCTCATAAGCGGCCAACTCCTCATATATTGAATCAATAGAGAAATAGTAGAGAAATTACAGTCATCGTGTCATCAATCACCCACTGATAGTTCCGTTTGACGCTGCGCGCTAGATTGGACAGTTGAATAAACTCACTGTCCTGAGACAGGCAATGTACAGTGGACTGATGCTCGCTCGATGACCGCAGAGCCGAAGGGCGGAACGTCTGGACCATCCAATAGCTATATTGCTCATCCTCCATCGTCACCATAACAGATTGTTGTATTGAGTAGTTCCTTCGCCAAGTTTACCGCCCTATCCTTCATTTTGCTAAAAACCAGGGTACGAAGAGTGGCGACGTAGTGAGAGTTCAGCAAATGCCCGCTCATGATGAATAGTACTGGTGTGTACTAAGCACGTGCTTGAGCTCGCAATAAGTGGTGTGCATGTAGTTAAATCCTTGCTGTATTTCTCAGGTAAACTACTGAATAACTCTAAGAACATCTGCTACTTTCCCAAGTAGCCTTCGCAAGGTGGCAGGAGACAGCACGGCATGACCAGGCGAGAATTCCCGTCTCGCGTCCAACTCATTCGTGAGCACCTCCAACTGCCTCAGTGATAATAAACCCGCCCCTCTGCTCTCAACGCCTAGTAGACGCTCAATCGCCGACAGCAAGATCACGGAGACTTCGCAGAAGAGCATGCCCTGGGTGCAAGCTCTCTCCAAAGGCTGCCCACAGATGAAGAGGCCCGGGATGGGCCGGATTGGGTCGGTAGGAATTCGCTCGACACGTAGTGTGAAATAATGAAGGATCAACTCGTAGCTCGAGATGAGTTGAATGAAAATACTCGTCATTAATAAGACGATTGGCCCAGGCAGTGGCTCAAATATGACTTTGGGGTTGAGTTGGTGTGGGATTCCGGATAGGTCCTGCGTCTTCGTCGCGTCTTGCTGCTGTAATGATGTCAGGACCTTTGAATATATTGCGTCTCGTGCTGGCAGCTCGCATGGTTGCTCGGGGAAGTGTTGACTATTGTAGAACCGTGTTAGAATAGACAGGAAGTCATGGGATGCTTTGAGCATGTATTCAGCCAGAGTGACCTCGTCAATGCACAGAGGGCTTTGTTGAACGATCATGAGGTCAAAGTCGAGGATCTGCTGGTGTTTCCTCATCGCCTTGAGTCGGACGTTTAGGCCCAGATTGATCTTCGATAGGTCGAACATGGGATCTTGATGGCTGTCATCTTGTGGACTGGGTGTCGCCGAGAGAAAACCCCAATTCAAGAGAGCGTTATGGCTGGTAAGTGGAGGAGCGGGATTCTGGGACGTGGCGACGGAGTATACACTTGGCATCACAGCGTCGAGATTGAGCCCGGTATAGGACGGCGGCGGCGGCGGAGAATTCGCGTATCTCATATCATCCCGAATTGCCCATGAGGTTATGGGCGAACCAAAAGTGCCGCTGAATCCCGAATGCCACGCTCCCGTGCTGTGGGCTGCAGCTGGGGCCAGGGTAGGAGGGACCTGCGGATGGGATGGCTCTGAAGATGACACGATGGTCCAGTCGATTGGACGACAACCTTCAAGAAAGGCATCCGTCTGCTGGGATAGAATAGGGGGGACTGGTGGGTTCGGGGGACTCTTGGGAGCATGTTTTGAGGCGGTGCTCGGAGCGGCAGAGCGTGCCTTGCGTCGTGGCCTCCCTACGGCTTTCGGTTGCCCTGTCGTGCACGGCACGTCGAGGATAGAGCATCTTGCGCATGCTGGATCGCCCGGGTTGATGCGAAGGCATTTGGACTTTTTTCTCTTGCAGACATCGCAGGAAGAGCGTTCCTGAGAAGGATGGGTTGTGACGGTGCTCATGACTGGGATGCGAGGTGCTGAATGGGGCGGCTCTGGCTGCAGCAAACGCCCATCTTTTGTCTAGAACCCCCCGCGGCGGGTTTTGTAAGCTGATCTGGTTTCGGGATTGATGATTAGTATGCGGCTCGGCACTGTATTGTCATAAGCCGGTGCTAGCTGTTATGCCCATGACAAGATCACATTGTGGGCCTGCCTAACATACCTAGTAAGCCTCCCATTTCATGTACTTTACTGACGTATGAGCTACTTACTAGGTAGGTAGTAATTCATCCCAATCCCGTTGGGAAACCATCCGCGGAGGTTTATAGATAAGTCAGCTATCAGAGTGTGGCACGACGCAACCCACTCGCCCGGAAACCCTCTGTCAATCCTCCGCGGATGGTCGCTGAAGGCATTATAGCTTACGGATCAGTGACGCGCTCATTCCTACACTTAGTCTGATCGATGTGAGCCTCAGTGTCAGTGCATGACCCAGACGTAATATATTGCGAACATGAGCGCGCCCAATGGCAGAGACTTCATAACTCCTGTAGCCAACATCTTACACTCAACTCGTTGATCTCAACCATGTCAAATCGTCGCATATTCGTCATCGGTGCCACAGGCGCCCAGGGTCTTCCTGTATGCCGTGGTCTGGTCAAGGATGGAGCCTACAGCCTGCGGGTCCTCACTCGCGACGCCAACTCCAGCCGTGCAAAGCAATTAGCCGAACTCGGTGACGTGGAGTTCCTTGAAGGAACGTTCGCCAACAATGAAGATTTGCGGAAGGGCCTCAAGGGATGCTGGGGCGCCTTCATCAACATCGATGGATTCAACTGTGGCGAGAAAACGGAAACCTACTGGACAATTCGTGCATACGAGTTGGCAGTTGAAACAGGCATCAAATTCTTTGTTTTTGGCAACCTCGACTACGTTTACAAGAAGAGCGGCTATGATCCGCGGTTTCGTTGCGGTCACTACGATGGCAAGGGTCGAATGGCTGAGTGGATTCTGAGCCAGAGGAAGGGCAACGGCATGGGCGTCGCCATCTTCACCACAGGCCCCTACATGGAGATGACAATCGCGTCCCAAACCCCCATGACGCCTCGTTATCAAGACGGAGCCGTCCTTTGGGTGGCCCCGCTTGGTGACGGAGCGGTGCCGCACGTCTCCCTAGACGACTGTGAGCACTATGTTCGCTGGCTCTTCGACCACCGGGAAAGATCTGATGGAATGGACTTGGAGGTGGCCATTGACCATATACGGTATGCCGATCTCGCGGCAGCCTTCCAAAAAGTAACGGGCAAACCCGCCCAGTATGTCGATGTACCAATGTCGGAATATTTCGACCGTGTGCCCATCTCCCATCAGCCGGCTGCTTACAACGCAGATCCCGGCGACCCTGCCACGATGACTTTCGAGGAGAACTTTACTGGGTTCTGGACTACGTGGGCGCATTCTGGCGGAAACCAAGGGGTTGTTACTAGGAACTACCAACTGCTGGATGAAATTCATCCGAAGAGGATTCGGACGGCTGAGGAATTCTTTCGCCGGGAAGAAGAAAGGCGTCGTTCCCTAGGAATTGAAACTCTTTTTGAGGCAATCCAGAAGGATGATTTGAAATCAGTTCTTAAGCTGGGAGAGGATAACAGAAAGGGCAGATTGTGATACCACCTCCTATATTAGCTCTGATTGAGAAGCATTCAGGCAGTTATCTACTCATTGTCATCGTACAGTCCAGTGGTCGGCCGTGATCTACAATCGTTCCTTCAACAATTATCTGAATTCTTTTGTCGCCATCCCGTCTAAGTTCAGCAATGCGTTCTAAGTGGTTCATGATCTCTTCTCGTAAGTCATACAACGCAATCTTCTCGCACAGCTCGTCATAGTGCACTTCAAGGACACTTCACAATGGCTGAAGCACTGAGGCTAATTGCCCAATGGAGTGTAGCGTTCCCCTCTTCATGAGATGTTTCCAATATCGCTCTCGTTGCGTTTCTCATCTGACATTGCTATTATAGACCCGAAGCGAAACAGTTTACTAGAGCCTTTGCAGCCATTAGCGTAGGGTACTTAGTAGTTCCTGATGTAGTAAACATGCCAACGAGCAAGACTATAAATATATTACTCGATTGTTTAACTACGTTTTCAAACTACCAACTCGGGATATATCGTGCTTCCTTCCTTGCTTGTCGCCGTTAATGTTAGCCGGCGATTAGTCGACAGCATTTGGGTATACGGCTGTGAACTGGCATTCTTCTGCTGGCCACGAATACACCCAACAATAAGCTCACATACATTGTGACATTCGAGATCAGACCATTCTTAACGACACTATGACATGGGTGTTGCTCGCAAATCTCACCCAAACGCAACTTTGGATAGATGTAGCGATGTGGCACCTTTGGCTGGATTAATTGTACATGTGACAACCGCGTAGTTACGAATATAGTAGAGGGTACAAACTCGTGGAAAGGGCACGTAAGGTCACAGATTATTGAGAGCTAGAGGCGTAAAATTAAATGAGAGTCATGCGCACATGCGTGTGGTGTAAACCTTGCGATAAAAGCCCCCGCGGAGGATTTGGGGCTTTCTTTGTAATGGCCTCAGACGTCAATGGTCATAAATCAATGATCTGACTATCAATGAGACTCCCACGGCCAATCGCTTAAACCTTGTGGGCGTGAAGCCCGGGGAATCTACGTAATCGGCTGACTTTCCTGTCTATGGTCCGGTCCTGAGCATGGGGCGGACCATTATATGTCGCCGGAATATTCTGTTTGCTGTTACTATTACTGACTATAAAACTTATGATGGCACCGTCTTGTTTTCTTCGTTCAAATACGCTCCAAGACAAGACTTCCAAACCCTCCAAGCTCTAGTGAGACTCGATCTCCTGCCACATAAACCATGGTCGATATGAAGGAAATTGCTATCATCGGCGGTACCGGCGCACAAGGCCTGCCAGTGGTACAAGGTAAGAGATATTTAGTTACCGCTGCTCTGACCTCTGCTGAACCTCTTTGAAGCTTTGTCTCAGAGCGGACGTTATCGTGTCCGGGCCTTGACGCGAAATCTGCAGTCTCCTCGCGCAAAGGGAATTGCCGATCTTCCAAATGTAACACTCGTCCGTGGGTCCCAGGACAACCAGGAGGACTTGCACAATCTTTTCCGGGGTGTATATGGCGCTTGGGTCAACCTCGACGGCTTCACTCTGGGAGAAAAAGATGAGCTTTTCTACGGCTTTAGGGCCTACGAGATCGCCAGGTCGGAAGGTGTACAGCACTACGTCTGGGCGAATATTGAGTACGCTCTTGAGAACGCACGATTTGATGAGAAATACCATTGTGGACACATGGAGTCTAAAGGGAGAGTGGGCAAGTTTATCCTCTCCCTGGGCCAGGATGGCATGAAGAGCACCCTTTTTAGCACTGGTCCGTACATGGATATGCTCATGGGCGGTTTGCTCGTGCCTATAGAGCAGCCGGATGGCACCTTTGCCTGGCTTAACCCAGCCCGTGAGTCCCTTGATCTCCTCCGCAGTACCGGCCTCGATCCGCTGTGTCTGCCTTTCACACCCCCTAGCCCAAGGCTTAGTACATCCGCTGACATGTGTTTATAGCGAGTGACGTGAAGCTTCCGCTGATAGCTCTCCTCGATGTCGGCGTTTACAATCTTTGGATTTTTGACAATCCCAGCGAGTCTGCCGGCATGGACCTCTCCGTTGTTACGGACAATGTCAGCTTCGCAGAGATCGTTGAGACCTTTACCGAAGTTACTGGCAAGAAGGCAGCCCATGTAACGGTCCCGTTTGAAGAGTATGCCAGTGTAGCAGAGCCTTACCCAAATGCTTATGTCAACTGGGTTCTCGGGCCTACCGCCGCCCGCGATGATTCTGTGATGACCTGGCGCGACAACTTCGGGGCTTGGTGGCAGTATTGGGGAGGCGGGATCACCAAGCCGCGAGACGTGGCAATCCTGGACCGCATCCACCCCACCCGCATCAGGAGCTTGAAGGATTGGATGGAGAAGGTTGGGTATGATGGGCATCGCCGCAGTGTTCTGAAAATGGTGGATGACTGGGCTGAAAAGACTGCAACAAATTAACATGGTGCTTAGGGGAAGGTGTCTTGCTAATAAGTTGCGGGAAGTTTGATAACCATTGTGAACTCACGGATATCCATAATAGGTAGGATTTTTATCATTATACTAAGGAGTTTCCCTCATGTTTCTCCCTAACGGAACTTCCTTTTCTGTCCATAACAACAACGATTCAACATTGCGTTGGCTTCAAGGCAGTATGGATCAAGCTCATCACCTGTTGATGCGTAATAAAAGCAAAAGTAGTCACCAGACCCTCACTTACATCTCTGAAAATCTTAGCGTAAGCTTGACTCTCTAAAGCTTCTCTCCATCTCCGCAAATGGTCCTAATACGGCTCGGCCTCTTCGAGCCTTTTGTCACCTTGAGTTCTAGTGCGTAGTGGGTTGGCTTCTGGGCTGTTCTTGTTTTGTCTCTCTCTCTCGCCTGACCAAATGCTAGCAACTTTCTCATTCCAGGATAGATCGTTCTAGGTCCGCTCAACCTTAAGATTTTGGTTAAGCACATGGCCACGGTAACGGCCGGAGTTGCGATGGCGGAGCCGCATTCGTAGGTACATCTAGAGTCGTGACAGGCGAGTCATTGTCGAGCAAATTATCGCTTGAAAGTTACCTCTCAAAACAATCAGCTGCTCAGCAAATCACAATACCGAGTGTAGATATAAGCGGGCTCTGTCGTGCTGTTGTATGATTGAATATATCGATATGGTAGCCGGTGTTGATGGCGCGACGCCATTCGAAATCAAGGGTCGCGCGTCGTAATCTGATGCAATGGATGTATAGCCTTGGTGTGAACTGCGGCCTGCTAGTGATGACTCGAGCGGTGCATCTGCCTTTCGCTTCGGTTACGGACCTGTTTGAAACAGATGCTGTACGTCAGGCGCGATAGCCTGGGCTGGCGTAAATTTGAGCATGATGGGCGAGTGACTGACTGTCGATGCATGTCTATGAAAGATGGGCAATGATGGTGTTGATTTAGTCGATATCATTGAGATAGTCACGTGGCCTTACGCATCCTAGACTCGTCATGGTCCGATTCCCCTTGCCTTACCGCGTCGGAGAGGCGACGCGTCCTGGAAACGCAGATGTGAAGCTAAGATGTGAAGCCGCTACCTACATATGCATGGCTTCAGGAACACTGCCCTTCAGTCCTCATACCGCATCTATATGGCATAGGACTGTCCACAGGCCATCAGGTAAAACTAATAGCAGACTGCTCGACACTGGAAAAAGCTAACGCGTTTATAGTTAACCCACGTGAGCCATTTGCCATGGTGGTCTCGCTTGTTACATGGACTTCAGCGATACTTTCGGGTCCTGCTCGGCATTCCGCATAAACCAAGCGCTTTAACTTCGCTTAAATTAGGCTACTTAGTATTGAGACCATCACCGGAGCCGAAGGAAGTATGCTTTCGAGCTCCTGGGACGAAAATCATGAGGACGACCGCTTGCAGAGCAACCTCCAGCGAGGCCTCGCACGAACACTCCTCTCGCTTGAGCCATTCCGCTTCCCCGTATTGGCTCATTTCAACTCGACGATCTAAGTTCCATTCACCTTGATAATCGCCCGCTCAACACTAAAGTTATGACGCAAGAGAACGAAGGTCTTCCCCTAAAAGTCCCACGTCATACAACCTATACCCTTGCAGACAATTTCGTCCTTGCACGACTCGTCGCCTTTGACAATAGGATACTGCACCAGCCTAACACCGTGACAAGCGAGATCGACGGACGTTTCGAAATAACAGGTCTTGCCGGAGCCGGAGCCATCTTTACGCAGATGTTGTGGAGTGACCTCCGTTCTCGCCCCTTCGTTTGCACTCTGACAGATCTCGACAGATCTTTTCGTATTAGACAAGACGAACCTGGATCCATCTCAAGTTGGACTCATCAAAAAAGCTCCCGGCTTCGCCTCCGCTCCCTTCACAGCCTTTGGCAAGCAGAACACCCACCCGAGTTGCAGTCCCGGGATCTCCCCATTCAACAACGAGCAGAAACCTCCAATCGTGCTCCTTAGATGCCTTGCGGGACCAGTAGTCCCCAAGCAACAAACAACTCCACGCATGCGTTTCCAGGCGTTCCAGAAAGGAACTGGGCGTGTGGGCCGGTGGTTGTACACCTTTAACAAGCAGACGATGTCCCGCGACTGTGCAATCACCCCAACTGTCAGTATCTCCCCCCGTAGAGAAGAGTGTCACTGGAACTTCGCGGACTGTTAGAGTGACTGCGTTAGCTGTGTCTGGATAATGGGAATGTGTACCAGCTTGCAGATACTGTGTAGCTGGGTGCCTGTGTCCCCCTTCATCTTCCAAAAGAATGTCGCGTGTCTTCGAAACCCAGCGCTGAGCTCGATACAAGCGAATTGATCGGATCCGCCCAGCCCAACCGGCCCACGTCCACGACGGAAACTCACACCGCCGTCGTACCGAGGTAGACACCAAGTGATACCAGCAGAGCGCAGCCGTCAAGTACATCCCGACGGCCTCGTCGTCAGCGCTGCTCAAAGCAACATATGGCAGCCCGCATAGGTTCAAAGTAGGGGGCACGCTGTTTCTCTCCAGAAACCGCAGCACTCCCGAGAAAGCATTGAGAGAGTCGAAATCAAATGTCAACTTGCGCGAGGCGTAGTTTTCTGCAAGCTTGAAAAGCTCGTGGTGCCTATGCTGGAGCATTTTATCGGTTTCACGGGTCCCAGCGAGTAAAGTCCCACACTCCTTTAGATACCCGCCATCCCAGTACTTCTTCAATATTGTCCGGCTCGTGTATAGGTTCATGAGAAAGCTGCTGGCCTTCCAGGAACGGCTAAAGTCGACCTGTTCGGGGCTCTGAATGAATTCCAACCCACCAATGGATTCATTCCAACTGACTTCTCTGCATTCAAAGTAGGTCTGATACTCAGTGAACACCAGTTTTCTTGGTGACAGAAAGGCCTCTTGGAAGGTCCACCCTCGCGTCCACCATTTTGATTCGGCGATGCTTGCTGTGGGATCCGGACCGGTACTAAGAATTGTGAAACCCGGAAGCTTAACAATTTGCTGTTTGGATCTCTTCGTTGATCCAAACCCAGGTAGGCCCTGAGCCTCACCTGTCCCGGATACGGCAATGATAGTAAACTGAGCTCCTCCGTAGATCAAGTCCATCTTGTTGATGTGATCAACCTTCTCACGCTCATTCTGTTGGTCGATGCAGTATTTGTCAACCCACAAGTATCTATATCCAAGGCTCTTGACAACTGTAACACTATCACGGATCAACGGCGGAATCGGCGATGGAAGTTGGAGCGGAGGGAGTGATGGATAATTATTGGAGACAACTCCTTTCTGCGGACCCCAAACGTAGCTCAACGTGACCCAAGTCATGGAAGCGGTGGCCGGAATGATTTTGAGCGTTTCACAGTCAATCAGCTTCATAGCTGCAACCTTCCGAAATGACCCGCTGCACTCACTCCCATGGCAATCTTTACAGTTTTGTAGCCACTTGCGCGTTCTCTCGCTATCGAACGATTCCGGGACGATACGCGGCCTGAAAAGACCCGGCGCAGTTCCGTTTGGATAGACAACCACGTACCCTGCGTCGTTGGCACGAGACACTGCGGGAATTTTCTTCTCGTCGTTGCTGGAGGTTTTGGGCGTTACCACAAGCATTGCACTCTCCTGCGCTCTTTTGAACCCCGCATCGGCCCATTGACAGTTTTCCAAAAACGAGACGGCGAGCAGCTCAAAACAGCCCGATTTTGTGGATTCCTGTCTACAGGATGTTGACAAGATTCTACAAACAACACAATTTGTTTGCAGGGGCAGTGTAAAGCGTGATCCATCGGCGTCGAGCACGGGACCCTCAATGTCGGGAGCGGCGCTCGTCAAATCTAGTACTCTGTTGAAATCAATTTTCTTGCATGCATCGCAGATGAACTCGGGTTTTGCTGTCGGCAGATCCATCATCTAATTGGTTTGATAGGTTAGAAGGAGATTCTTTGTACTGTACTGGGGCGACAGGCGACTTCTCAATACGGCGACGTTTTTAACAGGATAAAGAGGAGGATGGATAAAGCTGGAGTTCCAACTTTAAGTACATCTCAACTCCAGTACAACAGTCCAGGAGGCTGGGGGGCTGTACTCGGGTTAGCAGGCAGCAACGGCCATAAATGCGGCCATGGCCCCTCATTGTTGGTTGAGATTACACCAATGTGAAAACTATCCACGCTGCCTGGCCGCGTTGAAGAGCGGCCGAATATCCACTTACACTATGTAAAAATCACCCGAAATGCGAACGCTAACAGGCTGCAGTAGATCGACAACCCTTTTCCTCTTGTTAAGCAAAGGGAAAGGATCCCCAGCCTCGAGTCTTGGCTTTCCGGTAGGTGCTGTCAGAGGCGGGGTTAGGTGCAGCTATCCTTGTGTCATCCGTGTAAGCGGAAGCGGAAGAATAAGGTGGAGAATAAAACAACAGACTGGAAGTGTATGAGGCATATATTTAATAACTTCCCAGGCGCCATTCATGGCGCTCATCTGAGTTACTCGACCATTCTCCCGCGATTCAGGGCTCCAGCTGGAAACGAAGAACCAGGGCATTTCACCCAACTGAGGCTTGCTGGAGATGAAGCAGGGTCGCGATAGTTGTTCGGGAATCGTGCTGGGTGAGACTACCGGAAACAAGGCTTATGGACACAGTGGCGGGGCTAGATCCCCCAGGAATGTGTGTAGCGGGTTTGCAGCTCCTTATATATTGATAATCTACCTACCTTACTAGCGTGCGATCGTTGCTAAACTCTTTGAACCGGGAACTTCTTTCCTCCTTGTCCAACTACCCTGATACACCGACCCAAAGAACGTAAGATTTGCCGTGGGCCTTTCTATTGCTCCATCATAATAACTTTCTATCTATACTTCATCTACTGATCTATTACTCGGTTTAGTAAATGTCTGCTAACCCGACGATAAGTATTGAAGATGGGCTAGAATGTACGTTCAGAACAGTACCGAAAGCCACTCTCTGCCCAACAGTTGCAACCTTCCTTCATACATCTAGTAGCTGGGGGCAACATTGCTGGCGAAGGGGGCTTCGATCTATAGACAAATTCATTATCCAGCGGTATTAGAAGAAAGTGATGTGAGGGAACTGCTAACCGCCCACCACTGTCTCGGTTAATATACCCACCAATTGTGGTGGATTCCACACAGTAGCCGATAGCGGTAGGTAGAACGTGGCTTTTACTAATGTCTACTTGTAGTGTATACGAATTCACTATCAAGAATCAACTTATAGCTTAGATAGATAGGTCAAAGCTAGGATTCATATGGTGGTGGCATCTGATGTTGTGCTTGAGATGTTGAAGTTATTGGTGTTCGGCTGAAAACAAACATAGGTAGACCAGTGTGGTCCAAACAACCAAGGTCACTGCGCCCCAACTGCCCAGGCGTTTTGCTCATCCACCAACACAACTGCCCAATTAGCTCCTCCTACTTGGCGAGGCGGCGCAAGTGGCGCAGCCTGCATGTATACTGAGTGGGCGAGAATGGTCAAAGACGCTCCCCTCTGGGTGAGAGTTGACTTCTCTTCGGTTGAACAGATCATGTCGCCGTGTCCGTGTTGACCGGAAGGTTGGATGCCTGATGGACAGGAGGATCGATGAGGCTGTTGGGAAGAGATGCAAGAGGTGGAAGAGGTGCTTAGTTCAACTCATTTGATTGTTTACCCTCTTCTTGCTCCTCAGCTCCCGCTCGTCCGAGACGTCTGGGACTTTGGCCGCCGCTCTGAGGTGCTGATTTTCCGTGTGCAGTCGATCGTTGTCTTCGTGCAGTCGTTTGTTCTCGCCTGTCAGACGCGCAACCTCATGTAAAAGTTTGATGAGTTCTCAGTCGATCTCAGTCTGACCAGACGTATTAATCGTGTCTCCTCAAGTGGCATTCATCATTCTCTCGATATCGTCCCGGGTTGCCAGTGGGTAGACCCATGACTTCGTCGCCAGGTGTTCTTGTGTGTCATTGCATACGTCGGTACCAGACCTAAGGCAAATAAGCTCTCACTGTTCAAAACCTTGCTAACTCAAGCAACTATAAGGTAAGGTACCTACCTACACGCCCTACAGTGGGCGGCAGCGGCGTGGTGTAGCTTTCTGCCAGCCCAGTCTGTAAGTACTGAGAGCGGTCTGAGCACGTCCAGAGGCATTATACCGTGTCGTATTTCAGGCAACACTTATCCAATTTCCTCCACAACAACATTCATCACAACATACACAAACCCGACACTCAGCAAGCACACAAGCGCATCTCTCTCTGTGAGTTCCATCCGCACTTTTTGGATATCTGGCTCTGGCTGAACTAATCAAGCAAGCATAGTCTAGCAATATGACTCCTCCCGTCGCATCTCAGGCAGCCCCTGCCTCCTCGAACGAAGACTCCGCCGATGGCACGCGAGGCGAGCGCGATGAATCTGAGGCACGTTCAGCTACTTCCACTCAGGACGTCATGCATCCACAAGACTCCAACATCGTCATCCTCTGGGGGGATTATGACGAGAGCATCCTCTGGCAGTCCTACGCCCCTCGGCTCGCCTGGGAAATGGCAAAAGAGAAGGAACAGTCAGAGAAATTTGCGGCCAACTCCGTTAACGATGCCGGCGGCGTTGCGTCGAGCATCGGGCCAGAAGATCCGCCCACACAACCGCCATTCCCCCCCTATGCACTACACAAGAAGCGTTCAAAGCCAGGAAAAGCGGGACAGGAAAACGACAAATCACGCGTAACCTGCCCGGAGTCTGCAGAGACAGCAATGGGTGAACTGGTTTAAGTCCATGGGATTATTTCATAGCTCAAAGCTGTCACTGGGAAAGGGAAAAGCAACACAACAAAAAATGATGAGTCAAGCTTGACTGGGTCCGGAGTCCTCAGGAAGAGTACGGCGGCTTGTTGAAAATGCCTGCCATCGAGAATAGCAGCTACAATGAGCAAACACTAAACTAATTTAAAAAGATTATCTTGGTTATTTGGCTTCCGTTAGGTTCATTATTTTAACTATTGTGTTGCTATTATCACATTTACCTTTTATTGCAGACAAGGGCAATCTCGAGATAAATTTCGCGAGGGGCGAAACTTTAAACGCCCAAGAGAGGCTCGTGACACATCTCAAAAAGGTATAATAATTTTGGGCTGAATCAAGACAGGTAGATAAACCGGGTACTAGACACCAATTCTGAACAATCCCACAACATTACTTCTACTGCATTCCGAAAAAAATTACAGACACACGCCACACACCCTCACTAAAATTCCCTCCCCCCATGCGAGGAAGAGCAGCCCCCGAGATGAAGGAGTTGAGAAATGAACTGAAACACGAGAGGCGTGTTTCAAGCAGCCTGAAGAAAAGATGCGATTCACTTCGTCTAAAAGTGGAGAGACAGAAGAAGATGGAGGAACAAACCTTGATGAACCCTTTAGACGGAATGTCCGAGTCACTCCTCAAGCTTAGTATCGAACTGGAAGCAACTGAAGTGGAGAAGTCTCGCTCAAAGAAGCGCAGGATCTCCTTGGAGCGGGAGTATGTGCTTCAGGAACAGGATGCTGGCCGTATAACTGAGAGCGACGCAAAGAATCGCCTGATTGCCCTCCGAAAACGCTCCATCTTCGCTGGAAGTGAACTATGGGATCACCATAAAAGGAAGGCTCGGCTTGAGGACCCCAAAATGCAAAGATGTCTCGAGCCCGGCGGGTCTGGAGTGTCGATGCTGCTCTTGGACTTGTACAGGGCCAGGCACGGATTGGGCAAACAAAGGCGACGTCGTCCAAGCAATTGGCGCCGCAAGGCCCTGCAATACTACGGAGAAGACGGCAATTCCCGAAATGTGTGGTGTCATGCCTTGGGCGAGACCTTTTCGAAGGACCAAATCAGAACGGCCCATATTGTCCCATTCTCGCTGGACGGTGAGACTATCGGTTCGGTGATTTTTGGGAGCAGATCATCTACAGGACTAGCACAACCAGAAAACTCCTTGCTCCTTCATGAAATTATCCACAGATGGTTTTATAAGTATCAAGTGTTGATCGTCCCTGTTGATTCGATGGAGAGACCCATAAAACGATGGAAAATTGATGTTATTACACCCGATATCGCAAATTTCCGACTCTATCCTGGCAAAGTGGGAGGCGATTTGGATGGGCAGGAGCTTGTCTTTTTAAACAACAATCGCCCAGCCTTGGAATTCCTGTATTTCCGGTTTATCATGGCACTTTTTCGGATCAAAGATGTGAGAACTCGAGGATGGGAGACTGTCTGGAGCAAATATTACACAAATCGGCCCTTTCCAACACCAACTCCATATATGCGCAAGAACATGCTGCTCGCTATCGCAACCCATTTCGAAACAACCTCAATGGAAGTCATTGAGTCGTGGATGACGGACCACGGCTTTGTCTCCATGTCACTAGAACTGACCATCGAAGAATCGGATGAAGTGGCCCGGATTGTTATTGAAGCCATGGATCAAACTCATACTGAGGCGATTGAGGGAACAAAACACATTGATCAATAAATGGAGAGATCTTTGACAAGCGAAAGCCACCGCTTATCTTTGCCAGGTGTCAAGTTACAACTGATTTGACGGGCGAAAGCCTAAACTTCTCAAGATTTTCCTGGTTTGTAGGAGAGGGTAAATATGAAGATAATAGTACAATAGTCAAATAATCAACCCAATAGAAGCCAAATACTCATAATCTTTTCTTTCTGGTTTATTGTTTGCCTATTGAGCTTACTATTATCCATGACGGGCAGTATGAACAAGTCGTCCTAACCCGGCAATTAGCTCAATCACCTGGCGCTGGCCCAGCTGTATTGTTCTAAGACAACATTGGAGCGATTGCTACGGACCTAGCAGAGAATTTTCCAAACAGGGCTGGGTTAGCAAGGGCATTTGACTGATCATATCTGCTCAACTTCCTCTTTTTACCTACTTACCTCAAAATCATAAATGACCTCCGATCCGAAGGCGACTTTATTTGAGTCTCAAGCTTGAGATCGTTGTAGGAATCGAACCCACTCCCCCAAAACGATCTTCGGGTCTTGCCCAGGATTTTCAACCATTGAGATAGGTTTGCACCCATTAAATTAGGCTTGCGCCCGTCAAAGTTGGGAAGAGGGGGTTTCACTCATTAAATTGGACTTATGCCTGTAAAAAAGAAAAGAAGCTTGAAAGGAAACAGAAAGGCCGGAGGAAAAATTGAAAATAAACGATTACGCCCATTATTTTGTCTCAGTGGCAGCTTGAGTAGAAGACCTGGCGCGTTCCAGAGCCTCTTGGACAGATCCCTGTCTGAACGTGCCATCTCTCCTCTTGGGCAGGCGAGCTTCTTGGAAGAAAGGCAAGTCCTGAGGGATTTTTAGTATAAGCAACATCAACAGAGATAACAATGTAAGTGCTGCTTACCATTATCCATGCTGCACTGATTGCAGTGGCTTGTTGTAAGCACTGCCTCCCTCCGGACAAGAGAAAACCCGTGTAAACAACCCATTCATAGTTGGCACCCACCAAAGCGCTATCGGGAGACAAGAGCGCGGGAAAGTTCTCATGGACTGTTCGGTATTCGTCACCGGTGCGATGGATGGCGGTATGAGTGAAGAAAGCAATTGCTAATGTCTTCGGAATGGTTGTCTCATCTGTGATTGAGGCGCAAGATAGTGTAAGCTTGGTGTTGGTGTGTAGAAAACTGCCAACTGCTTGGCGAGCCAAGCGGACTTCCTCCAGTGCTTCCATACTCAGAAAATTCACCAAACACCAATGACGAAGAGCCATTTCCGAATCTTCCTGTCCCTCGAACGAGCGACGAGCGTGCATAAAGGCTCTGAAGGCGTTCAGCAGAGTAAGATGATCTGACCCAGGACGCATAAAGGCCTCTTGAGCCGCGCGTGCAACCCTAACTATCCCCAGTGGTTGAAGAAAAATCGGTTTCTGCGAACTGCATAGGACAGCGATGTCAACGATGTCCGTGGAGCAACCAAGATCTGCCCCAATCTCAATGGCTCGATACCAAATTGGCTCCAGTGGGCACATGGCGGCAAGCTTGCCTACCGTCGTGAGCTTGCCATCGGTTCTTAGAAACTTCCTATTTAGGACTGTTAGTTCTGCGAAATCGATTCAAGGGAGGTTGGGAGCCAGTAATTACCAATCCTTGAGGTCTTGGACAGCTCTCAAGAGAGACTCAGGATGAGGGGCATCGATCCAGTCAAAATCTGCGATCTTGCGATAGCCCGCGTTGACAAGGTCTAAAATCACCGAGTCAACTGCCTCGCGGCGGATAGCTGGTTCAGTTGTTGGTTCCATGAGATTGAAAGCCTCTCTGGTGTAAAGCCGGTAACAGAAGCCATTTCTTGTCCGTCCAGCACGGCCAGCACGTTGCGCTGCTGCTGCTTGGGATATGCTTCGTAGCTCGAGCATGTTCATGCGACCCCGTGGGTTGAAAATCATTTGGCGTGACAGGCCAGAGTCGATAACAAACACAACCCCATCAATGGTTAGACTAGTCTCTGCGATGTTCGTTGACACGATACATTTCCGGTTTGCGCTAGGGCAGTTGATAGCTTGGCTCTGTTCGCAACTCGATTGCGATCCATGTAAGGGGAGGACTTCCAGGTTCTGATCAAAGTCATCGAGTAGCTTGCATACTTCTTCAATTTCACTTTTTCCAGGAAGGAAGACCAAGATGTGACCCGGCTCCGAACCTTTATGGATCTGCATCACAAGGGCAGCAGCGGCAGCGATGTAGTCTGACACCGGGGCTTCCACGTGGAAGGTCTCAACTCGAAACCTCCGTCCTGGTATTTGAACCAGCGGGCAATTGTTGAAGTAGCGTTGGAAAAAAGCAGCATCCATCGTCGCTGACATGATTACCACCTAAATTGATCAGCATCGGCCAGGCTACGAAGGCTGGAGTTTATGTGCGTACCTTAAAATCCTTGCGGCGACTGACCACCTTTTTCAACAATGCCATCAACAGGTCAGCATTGAGGCTCCTCTCGTGGGCCTCGTCAATGATGACGCAGGCATACGCCGATAAGTTCCTGTCATGACTGAGTTGGCGAAGGAGGACACCTTCCGTGAGGTAGACGAGCCGGGTCTTCTTGTCGTTTTCGTCAAACCGCTGCTCAGACCGGACCTTGTACCCAACCTCCTCACCCAGTGTAACTCCCATTTCAACGGCTACTCGGCTCGCAAGTTCCCTGGTGGCAAGTCGTCGTGGCTGGGTGCATGCAACCTGGAGACCACTGGGATGCTCATCGTAGGTGAGCAGCTGGGGGACTTGAGTTGACTTGCCCGAACCAGTCTCGCCCGATAGTATCATGATTTGAGACTGTTGATACACATCGAGAATCTCGCTGTACCGCTCGTGGACTGGTAGAAGGCGCCGGCTTTGAAGCATGGCATCGTAGCCAGGAGGTCGTTCATTTCCAGTGTGTGGGCTGCAGGTTGCTTCTTCAAGGGCCCAAATTTGGGCGAAGGTAGTCTGGTTTCTAATGATGGAATCCATGGCAGAATGAGACTGGAGAAGTTGGTATTTGGATTTTTGTTGCAAGAAATGGTAGATTTTCTCATCGATTCTTGTTACTGTTGTTGTTTTTGACGCGTTAGGTCGAGTTTGTCAGGGACGAATCTGTACCCAAAATAGGTACCTTTTTTCTATACCTCAGGTATCCATTATAGTACGACAAGCTCTTTTTACATAAGACTTTTAAAAAATTTAAACACAATAATAAGAGAATAATACTATTTTATATAATTATTAGCTTTCCATTGTATCTATTATTCGATTAATTGTTTTACTATTGTGTTAAAATTCAATACTGGAGTATCCAGCTGCCATATTTGTCAGTCGCGTGGTATCGACAGCAAGGAAACATACTTTGTAGATACCTCAGGCAATAACAAAACTCTCTTATCAGGTTCTCGGCGTTATTTTCAGGTCGCCTGAGGCATCGAAAGCGAAAAGGGCGCGTAGTTGGATAGATACCTCAGGAAACACGGGTACTCACTTCACCTCTCAGCTTTACGTCAACTCATCAACGCACCACAGCCAAACAACAATCCCAGAACATCACAACGCCAACGCAACCAGAAAAAACCATCTTCAAAGCCCAACAAGTGAGTCTCCATCTGCTGCCAGAAACTGCCGGGAGAGTAATTAACCAAAAGCAGAATGGCCAACGAAAACGCAGCTTTTGAGCAGCTCATTGGAGGATACCGAAAGAATCGCCGGCTCCTCACGATCAACAACATCTCGTTCAAAGCTACCCGCTCTGAATTCCAAACCGCTGCTCGTGCCAAGTACCACAACTCCGACAAACTGACCTTCTTTTGGCCACCGGCTGGGGGCAAATATCGCAACCCGAGACATACGGGATGCGTGCATGTGGCGGTTGCCACTCGCGAGGATGCCACCAGAGTTCTTTCTGAATTCCAGGACTAGGAGTTCCATGGACGACAGATTAAGATCTCTCGAGCAAGCAGACATGCGGTATGCTACAAGTCCCTTCCTTAATCCTTCTCGAATACTGACAAAACAATAGAAGCCGGAACCACAACCCTTGGACAATGCAATGTCCACTCCAACCACCTCGGCGCCCGCACCAATTCCAACATTGGCAACCGCCCAAGCTTACACGGTCACTGTCGCTGTGCTTCCCACCAACGCCCCCATGGGGGCTATGGTTCCTCCTCCCTCGCAATACGCACATGCTTCAACTCAGACCGACCTATTTACGAGCACTCCTGTCCCTGTCAAAAAAGTAGCTCCAAGTGAGCTCAACCGGCTGAATTGGGACATGGGCCTCGATCGTTGTTGGGGAATTGAGGAAGAAAATTGAGAGGATCTTGATGGATATCTGGATCACTAGAGACATCAACTGGTTGCAAGTTTGGCGTCTTCAGTTGAACGGCGCAGGCCTCAGTGCCCAATGTAAGCCTCACTCCCCAGTTGAACGGCGCAAGCCTCTTTGAATGGCGCAAGCCTAACTTCATGGGTGCAAACCTACCCATCTTGATGGTTGAAAATCCTGGGCAAGACCCGAAGATCGTTTTGGCAGCCCTACGGGGAGTGGGTTCAATTCCCACAGCGATATCTCTTGTGACAGGTTCAAGACCAACACAAAGAAGTGACTCTGACAGAAAAAGGCCAAGCCCCCTCATACCATGGTAAGTATCACATCTCCCTTCGTCTTCCCTCCTCATGGCCGTCTGTTACATAATAATTGGTAGACCCAGCAATAAAATCACAACTTCCCTAATTGCCTGGCAGTAGAGCCTTCCTTGCCGTGTGGAAGCTGGGAACGCTAGCGAGCGCCGCAAGTAACGGCTTAGAGTGCTTTCCCATCCATTTCTATCGCTAATAGCGAGTGGGTGGCGCCGTTTAGAGGAGTACCTGGCTTTTTCTGGACGAGATCCGAAGGGGGAGGCGTGTTCGAATCACGCTACGATGTCCATATGATTTTCTGCTACCTTGTCCACGGGGTGCAAGTTTAGGATGCAGCAGTTAACTTTGTAGCCTCTGCTCAAAAACTCATTCTCCCTTGACCATGATAAGTATGAGTGAAAAAGCAAGCTTATATTGAACCAGACGGGCCCCCTGCCTCTCACATTACAGAGCTCACTCATGATGGCCGTTTCCCTCGACCTTGCAGATGAAGCTCCTACGTATATCAACATCCGCTTCTCCCTCTCAAAATACAAACTTTCTGCTACACGTGAGGATCAGGCTGATGAAAATGGGTTTATTGCTCCCCTCGGAGTCATCGATTCGTTGTTTGATCAGCTTAGAACATATCGAAGTCTTCCATCTTTCTACAGAAGCGGGGCAAGGCTTTAACAATACTTGAGTTATTTTCATTTTAATTTTCTCTGAAGGCCGTTACATTCGTGATATGAAATAAACCCCGATAAATCCAACACAATCTTGTTTTCCTATCCAAAAGAACCACATAACATGCTTGTTACCCAAAGATCAGGTGAACACTATTCAGTCTGCCAAAATAACACTCGTAGGCTTGGTTTTTTTCCTTCGTTAAACTCCTCCCCGCCTTTTAGTCACTGTGAGCTAATGTCTTCCACCAATACTGAAAATTCCCTCTGCTGTGGCGGCTCATACCCTAGGTGAAACTCCCTGTGTCCGTGGATGCGATGCCCAGTAAGATCTTGACAACGCCTTCCATGCGTTTTGTTCATAATTGTGTCCCTAACCAATGTTGAATTATAAAAAAAGAAAAGAAAAGAAAAGAAAAGAAAAGAAGGAAGGAAAAATTGTAATAAACAGATGTCTGTCTGGATAGACGCAGAGCCAAGTTTGCATCCTGTCGTGCGGATTGTTGTGCGTTCCGAAGAATAAGTTCTTCGTGAGTCCTTTGACGTAATCTTAGCTTCCTTCATCCCCTTCGTAGATCTCGGCACAATGTGTTGGACGCGCCGTTGTGGCTCAGCCTCGTTTTCCAGCGCAGAGAAAAGCTCCGCTGACTAGAGGTGTGGAAGCTCTCTTCATTCCCCCTCTTGTAATTCTCGTTAATCATGTCCGTCATGTCCACCATTGTCGTTGTTTTCGTTATTTTCGTCGTTTCCTTCGTTTTCATCCCCAAAATGAATGTAATTGGTTGGAGGGGCCTCATAATACACATGGGCCTCAGTATCTCCGAAGGCTTGATTGTCCCCCTCGCCTTCATCGTTTTCGTGGGCGGCAGTGTTCAGATGAGCTTGATTGTCGTCGTCATCATTCTCAATGGGATATAGAAAGTCATTGGGATGCAAAGTATTAAATGGCAAATCCTCAACGGCATGCCAATCCCCCGGGTCGGTTATTTCATCTACGTCCGCGGGTGGCAGCGTCATGTTAGGGAGGTAATATTGCCTCTCATTTTCGCGTGGCTCCGGGCCCATGCCTCGATCTCGCAGGTACGTCGCCATGTCCTTCTCGACCAGCGGCTCCGGATAGGTATCGGCCTGGAGGGAGCGGAACTTATCCATCAACGCTTCGCTCGGTATCCAGCCGAGCAGCCAGGTCACCAGCTCCCTCGTCGTCCCGCGGCGACAGTTCGGGCAGACCTTGGTCTCTGGATCCTTCCTCGCGTTGCCGCACGGTGCAAAGTACGCAAAGGTGAACCAGCCGGGCTCGCCGTCGTACGTGTCGTCCTCTATCTGGCACCCCAGCATGGACGACTTGAGGTGGGGCATCTGGGTCAAAGCATCCGCGTATGCGTTGACAAACGGTACCATGGTCGACTTGCTGACCTCGCCACGGAAGACACGAACTGGGGTAAGGTGCGAGTAGCGGGCTTCTTGGACGAAGCTGAAGATCTCATTGTGCAGGTTGGATTGGTCACCCTCGGCACCCTCCCCTACTCCAGGTGGGATCGCATGGGGATTGTTTGCTGCCATGTGCTGGTAGGCGTGAATTTGACCAGGGCGAGGAATGAAGTACCAGTCACCAGCGGGTGTATTGATATGGAGGTGGATGTCAAAGAATTGAAGGCTCGGCCAAGGTGTTTCGCTCATGGTCTCAAGCGGCCGAAGGAGAGTGATGTCGAATACGCCAGTAAGGGTCAAATCCATCAGGTTGTGCGAGAGCGCGAACTTATATACAGACGAACTCAGGACATCTGTAGCGCCTTCCTCATGCAGGGCCGGAGGGGTGGCAAGCTCGTCACGGAATCTTCGGAGCGTGAAGTCAAAATCTGCTCTTTTTAATGATGGAAGTGAGAGGCCTTGCATCAGGTTAGCAACGTCCTCTCGGTTCTGTCTCCGGATTCGGGGAAACCGCTTCTCATCGTCATCAACGCTGAAGTTGAACTCCTCGAGGTTCGGTAACTTCATCGCCAAGGAAACAGGAACAGTTGGCCGTGTGTTGCGATAAGCATATCTCTCTTCTGGTCGCAACATGGACAGGCGCTTGACTCGTTGCAATACCGGAAGTGTCTCAAGCCTATTAAGGCTGATGTAAGAGTGCAAATAACGTCCCTCATGGATTGTGCTCCAATCCGTAACCGAGTTGGCATTCCATGGTGCGTACTTGGAAGGCCAGGGACGGTCACTAGGCGACTCTGGGTGGTTGATATCGAGGGACAAGCGCCGAGGCAGGTGGGGATCTTCCGTCTCCCATTGACTTAGGAGATTGAAGAGGGAGTGGATGGCTTCTGTATAAGCCTCGTCATTGGCAGCACGCTCTTCCGGGGACTCGGCTCGGATAGCCGCGTCTCCATCGTACGATGGAAGGATGACGGTGAAGGTTAGGCTGGCCAAGGAGGAGCGGCGAGAGGGTGTAAAAAGCTTGGAGAACTCGGGCAGCTCGTCGCTGTTGATTCTGATGTGACGGAAGCTCCAGCGCTCGACAGCAGCCTGCATGCGGCGCGAGGCTATTGCGACCGGGGTGAGAAGCTTGATGTCGGGGCTAGACCTGGAGGCCTTCTCGTAGGGCTCACGGAGAGGCTCCACCAGGTTGGGGACCAGGAACGAGATGATGTGCTCAATGACCTCATGCGGCAAGGTATCCATGGCGGAGAGGCCTTTCCCTGGCCGGGGTGGCAGCGAGGTAGACAGTAGACAGTTGGGTGGGCGTCTGGGGAGGCAGATGCGGGCAGGATTAATAACAGCAACTAGGAGGAGGCAGGTAATTGATCTGTGCAAGGTTGGTTGGGATGGGTTGGGTTGGGAGGGAATGGAGATGGACGGACCCAACAAACACGAGACTCTGTCCCCCTCATCACTCCCCGCCTCACTGCAGTTCAAATCCTGGATATTACTAAGATTGTCGCAGATTATCTAACCGGAGTCTGATTGGTTACCATCGCACCAATCACAGGCCACATCCTTGGTCTCAGGCCCCGTTAGCGATGCACTGCAGCCACACTACTCCTCGACGCATCAGCTACAACGCAGAAGCATTCTTACGAGCATTGTGGCAAGCCTATGAACAAAATGATTATCCAGACAATATCCAACACCATGACCTATCTCGTGCTGCGGTCAATGAAACACAGCGAAGCCATCTTGGAAGATGGTAGTTCTGGGCCTGTTTGAGGACTTGCCTGTCTTTGCTGCTTGTAATGTGTGTGGCGCACGTTCAAGAATCGTGGCTATGGACCCAGGACAAAACTGTCAGACAAATTGGCTTCTTTCGCTGCACCAGCTCAGCTACCCTATAGCGGCCACTCTCCCCTCAACGGACAAAATTATTTCAAACCACCGTGTGAGCTTTGCAATAGCCAATCGGATTTATAAGTGGCTAAACGACTGAGGAAAAAGTACCTATCAAGCGAATCTCATATGTGCGATACATTGTTGAGAATGTCATCTTGTTGCGCAATGTAACTCTAGTTCAAGTCTGTCCAAATATTCTGATTCCTGTCTTAATCGTAACGCTCTCTCCATTCTAGTCCCCGAAAGTGACACAGAACTAACTTAGGGAGGTTTCATTGTACAGATCTTGAAGTTTATCCTAAGTCGAATCCTCTCTTCCAGTCAACCCGTAGGACACCAGGCGATCATTCACCATACGATGTTAGGGCGAAGCCCAGGGATTTTAAACCATCAAATTAGGTTCACACCTATCAAATTGGGCTTGCGCCTATTAAGTAGGGGAAGTTTATCGCCAATCAAGTGGAAGGAAGGGTGATGATCAAGAATAAGGAGAGTCTCTAACTCTCAACACAGAAAGAGGTGGCCGCCTTGAGTTCTTCTGAAAATAAGCCGATGGGCCTAAACCGCTCCATTCACTGTCCTCTTTGCGGACTCCGGGCTAGGCCATATGTGACTTATTACTTTATTGTCGCGCTTTTCCTGGCATTGAGCGGTCCCTGTGTAGCCGACCGTAGAGGGAGACTGGCGTTCGTGCGGATAGATCTTCTGGCTTGATTTCTGATCCGATGGTCTTCACAACCTCACCGGCGTCGTTGACAAAGTTGGCTGCCAGGTCCGTTGACCATTCCTTCTCTTCTACCATGTCCTTGGTGAGCCGACGCCCGTAGGACTGCCAGCGGATGTGCTTGTCATAATCCCCCCAGCCAGCGCCGACGGTGGAGTCTCGCGGATGCACGATGACATGCCCAGTGGAAGTAGCCGAGCGCGCCTCAGAGTTATCGAGCTCGGATTCCCGGGGGGCAAAAGATAACGACTTTGCGATCGTTCCTGGGTTTGATCCATCCTGACCGAGAAGCTGACCTAGGCGCCAGGAATCATTGGGCATCGTAGTAGTCATGAGAGTTAGACCAGGCCCAAGAAACCAGCGTGTGTCCGCGACAGTCCTTTCTTCGGTAATGATATCCACAGGACGGTCAACTCTTCTCGTGTCTTTGCCGTTCTCGTCGCGTACAGACTTGGGAGCGCGCTAGACTTCCCAGCCTTGAGCTTCAAGAGAGGCCACTTTGGCCTTGGGAACCGTGACTTGTTCTATTCCCACCCACATGCCGTCCACCATTCGGTAGAGCACCGCTTTCGAGGAAGAAGGGACTCTTCGAACCAAAGAAACATACTCGGTCTCGAGGTTATCCTCGTGACCCGCGTAATCGGCGGCCTGCAAACCGACCTGTGGGCGGGGTTGAATGTAAGATCCATGTTCTGGGTCGTGGACGACTCCGCGAGTTGGTAGGCCGTGTAGTTCAAGGCGCGGCGCTTCTTTTTCCACGTAACGAAGAAATGCCTTTATGCTTTTATTCTCGTCATCCGGATCGTCATACCACTCCTTGGGCAAAGTAGGCCTGCCATTCTCATTGGGCAACAGTAGCTCTGGACCCAAAATCTCTTCCCAAGTGCCTTGCGTGCCATCGGTGGCGTCTTCGCTCGAGGAGGCAGTAACTGCCTGAGGTGCGAGAGGCTCGGGAGGAGTCATATTGCTAGAATATGCTTTCTTGGTTAGCTATAGCCAGATCTAGATGCAAGAAAGCGCGGAAGAAACTCACCGAGAGGGATGTGCTTGTGTTTTGAGTGTCGGGTTTGGGGATGTTGTTGTGGAGGAAGTTTGGATGATTGCTGCCTGAGACGCGGCACGGTGTAATCCCTCAGCACGCGTTCAGACCGCTCTCAGGCCTCACTGGCAGAAAGCTGCACCGCACCCGTTGGTCACTACAGCCCACTCGGCATTGCGGTTATAGAAATTGACTTCTGTGATAGTCCCGTCTTCCAATACATCGACTGGCCTGCATGCTAGCACTGAACAAATCAGCGGCCGTGATGAGCCTGTTCAAGAAAGAATCCCCGGTCTGGCTCTCACTGTTGCATACCCGTATCTCAGCGAAGACAAGATGAAAAGCTTCAAGGAGCAGGAAAGGCAGGCCCTAAAGATATTGCGCCTGATAGAACCAAATGTGAGTACGTCTTCCGTTCATACGGTGTTCCCTAGCAAGCCACGATCAAGAGCTGGCGAATCCGAGTGTACTCCAACGCAGAAAGCATCAAGGTCGACAAGCTATCGAACAAGGTCGAAAGTATATCAGACACCTAGAAAGCAGAATGATAACTTAGCTCACATTCGGGATATTGCCAGTTCTAGCTTTCATCAACTGATTGTAACTATTCACGCTTACACTCAAGGTTATTATGCACAGTGGATGGTGGAAATTAAATCTCTGATTGTTTGACGCTTGGCATGTGAAATGTCTTTTCTAGGAACCACGAAACATCTCCCATGTCAAGACTCTGCAGAGACACGAAGTAAATAAAATCACATTAATTCAAGCTGAAGGTATATCTATAACGAATCAAAAACCACCAAATGTTCCCGGGCTGAGCGTCACGCTTAGCAGAGCTGGAAGAGGGCGGCGGCGACACCAGCAGCGGCGAGGAAGCTGGAGACGGAGGTGGCAGTTCCCTATTTGGATGTTAGCGACTGTCTTGCTCATCTGAATGGCCTCCGCTTTGCCACAAAGGAAACGAGGACACATCTGACTTACCATGCTGATGGGGCCGGAGGGGGAGGTAGGCTTGGAGCCGCCAGCGCTGGTAGGGTTGCCACCAGGGTTGCCGCCGGGGTTGCCGCCAGTGGGCTTAGCAACGCCGGAGGTGCTGTTGGAACCGACGGGGCCGGGGATGATGGGAGCGTTGGAGCTCTTGGGGCCCGAGGGAGCAGAGGTGACGGGGCAGACGGTCACGGTGGGCTTGACCTCGGTGGTGGTCTTGCCGACGGGGCAGTTGGTGACGGTGGCAGGGCACTTGGTCACGACGTAGGTCTGGGTCTGGTAGACGGTCGAGACGGAGAAGTCCTGGGTGACGGGGCAGACGGTGGTGGTGACGGGGACGGTCACAACGGTCGTGTGAGGTCCAGCTGGGCAGTTGGTGACGGTGGGAGCGCAGGAGGTGACGGTGTGAGTCTGGGTGTCGTAGATGGTCTTGGTGGTCATGGCGGCCGGGGTGGTGGCGGCGGAGGAGATGGGGGTGACCTGTTGTGCATGTGCTGGTTAGTTTGTGTTCCAAGACGCGTGAGAGTGAGTTGCAAACGTACGACAGCAGCAGCGGCAACGGAGGCCATGGCCATGACGGAAACGGACTTCATCTTGATGATTATTGGGGGGTTTTTTCTTGTTGCGTAGTGTAGCGAGAGACTGGTTGAATTATTATTAAGTGTGTAGCAGCAGAATGAATGACTGTAGTGTGGTTGATTCAAGATAGGATCAAGATTCAAGCAGAGATAGAGGAACATCTTCTTTTAAAGGCTCTCGATCCTCCTGTCGTTGCTATCACACCGCATCCGCCCCTGGACCTCATGTCCCTGCAGGGCTCCATGAGCAGGGACCCGCGGGATGCAGGTACAAGCGCCAATCACCACCTCGGGACTGTCAGCAACAGGGAAGACAAGGGGCAGCGCTTGGGTCGCTGAGGAGTCATGTTCGTCGGCTGGTTGGCGCCGAAGCCCGATATGACTGGACTGGCTCGTGTTTTGGGAAATTGGCAGCTGCACCTTTGCATCCATGTCACCCAATATTCCCTCTCTGCTGGCAAGCCGTGTCAGCGAGATTGGCAAGTGAAATCCGAGGGCGGTAACTCGCTGCCGCCGCCCCTGTCTGAATCATCCACCTTGTGCACCATTCTAGAAACGGGTAGATCTTGGACGGCAAAGGGGCCTATGAGAGTCTGAGATGGTGTTCTCACTCCACTCCCTCCTGAAAGGGGCACGTGTGGCTGTCTTAAGCACACCAATGGCGATGGCGGGAATCCTGCTGCTCATACGACGCAGAGCAGCTGAAATAACCGAGCCGCCACACTTGGTTGTTGTTCCTGCTTCTGATCTTGCCTGTCATGTTAGCGTTATCGGCGGCTGGGCGAGGATCGCAGCTGTGCATTTGCCTTGATTGCTTTGTTCCCTCCCCACATGCTCGGCACAGGGGCTGAGATTGGCAATGCCCCAGAAACGAGTCGATCCGGTTCGTCTCCGCCGCAATACGATGTTCGGCCACCACGCGCGTAGCCATGCTTCAACTAGACATTGCGGTCCGCGGTCCACTTGGTCCAGAACTTTTTACATTAGAGCACGCGCCTCGCAGGGAAGAGCCCGAGGGCTTATCTTGGGGAACGAGGTTCGTGATACCCCTGCCAGCCAAGGCGATAGTGGAGCTGCCTACAGGGGCCATGTTCAGGGGAAAGCCTGCACCAGAAATACGTGCATAAGACAATGCTGCGATGTTCTCGCCTTATCCAGATGTAACGATCAGGGATCGGATCACGGAGCGTTATCTACGGCTGTCAGTATGCGGTATCTCGTGGAAGGTAAGGTAATCAACCGATATCTGGCTGCTTGGATCCTTCGGCTCGACCGCCTCCATCCCTCTTTCCCTCTGCCCTGTGCCCGCTGAGAAAATCAATGACCTCACTCATCACCACTTTGTGGACTCAATGAATCAACATCTCCTGAAACACTCTTTCAAGCTAGTAACTGTGTTTCCGCAGTGCCAAGATCAATAGGCCAAAAATAAACGCCACATTCTATGCAAACAACGTATGCAATTTCACACGCTTTGTTAATCTCTGCGCTGTTGGTTGTTGGTGTGGTTCAAAGGCCTAGTTGGCATGCGACTCCTACTCCGAAATCAATTACCCTTTTCATCAGCGATAAGTCGTGTGCCAATAAATAGCTGCGACATACTTCATCCGAGGCAAGCTTATGGGGAAATTATTAATAAGATAAGCCCGAAGCGCCCTCCGCGCTGAGTGTTTGTGTGAGGATCATCGCGCACTCCTCGCTTTCCACGGCGCCCGGAATTTCCCTCATGCGATCAACGCTTTGGTTGACTTCTTGGCATACCTTCTGAATCACAATGCCAATTGCACTGGGAACGCTCATTCCTCGTTGGAGGCCTTTCATTTATGCATTGGGCACAAAAAATGGGGTTCATGCACTGCTTTCTGTGCACTCCGTAGTCTGGGTCTGGAATGACAGATCGAATTTTCAGTCTCGTATTTATGTAATTTTCCCAACACGGAGTGCCCCAGCTTGAACCGCGATCCACCGCCAAGTATTAAGGGGCATGAAGCAGATTGACCACCATTTTCCCAATCTCTAGACTTGTAACCAGATGGTGGCGTTAGCATTGATACCCTAAACATGTCCTGCTCGCTGCTTGCTCACTATACTACATGTTATCGTATTTTTAAGAACCAGAAATTAGATCAAAGAGACAATACATGACACGTTGTTCAATTCCCATCGTTGAATAGTTCTGTATTGTTCTAGTATGGCTAAATGTGCTCGGGTTAAGAATGTCTTCCATTTCAATGTCTCATGTTGGTTGTAGCCCAGCGAGACAGAAGCAGCAAGGCTTCTCCGATCACCTTCACCTTTAGGCGCCCGCGGATCTACATCGATGTTGCTTTTGTAGAGACGCAATTCTGGCCTTCTCACTACTAACACGTAATGATCGGCAGTAGTAATGCACAACCAGGGTGGACTTCCACTCTGGTATACGTCGTGTATTCCCTCACACAGGGCCTTGTCCTTGGAAGCCTTTCCAACAGTCATTCCAAGATACCGGAGCAAAACTCGAAGAATACGGGCATCAGTCATCTAGAACTCGGGGTACGCGGAGTGTGGATTCTTACGCGGTGATCCTTTCCATTAGGTGGCTCGTATTATGGCCAGTCTTTGAATGGAACCCGGCTCCAATACCTCCAGCGAATCTTTGGAAAACTTCGCATGGCCAGTAAGATCACCCTCGTCGTAGCATGATACGTTCACGACCGCGGGAAGAAGTTCCAGAGATTCCACAACTCGCCCAAGACACATACGCAAGCGGATTTCCAGCCAATTTCGCGGAATGGTGCAATGACATGTATTATCGCCTCCTTGCCCCGCTTAGTAACTTGTGAACCTGTCTCAAGTAGGTCATAGTTCCTCGTATCTATTTTGAGCTTCTCTTCCTTTAATACTAGGATTCTCGAGATATGGGAGGGGAGAATCACGAGCAAAGGGTGAGACCTAGTTTCTTACGGTTTGTAATGGAAACGACTGAAATGCGGGCTATGCGGCAATTGCTTTCTCTACATTTTCCAGCGTCGAGGCATAATTCAGGGGATTTCGTACGACCGTTCTGAGTTCACAACGCAACCGCACACACGACACTCACTTCCTTGGTGGCAATATCCTGCAAGTTCTTCACATGGTGTCAGGTCATGAAGGAGTATCTCAAGCCTAAGAAAACATATTCTTCTCCTTTGAGCCAAAAATGCAAGTTATGTTGTATCCAGCAGAGGTCCGATCGGGCCCATATGGGGGTTGTCTAACTACGGCTCCGCGTACTCGTCTATCTCTTTCGAGACTGGCACTCGCCGCTGGGAGGGTCGAGCTCTGCACCAAGAGGCTGCGGGATGCCAAAATTTGGCACATTGTTCTCGTCGAACGTGACCTTTTGCGCCATCGTGTATCGCGTCCTTCCGCAGTCTCCGTCCGAGTTGGCCGTGGCATGGAAGGCATTCTAAACCACCTCGTCAGCTTTATACTCTAAGTTCAAGGGAAAACGAGAGAATTGGGGGGAGGTTACCCAGATTTCTTTCCCATCGGGAGATTTGAAGAAGCTGTTGTGTCCAGTTCCGTAGTTTCCGTTAGCCTGAGACAGGACTGGGCCAGACTTCTCCCATGACGAGGCCTGAAGGGGATCGCCGCCGTTGTAGTAAAGAAGACCCAAGGCGTAAAATGCGGTCGAGCAGTCCGATCCGGAGTAGGCAAGCCAGATGTCGTCCCCGTGATACAAAGGCTGTGTTTTACTGTGAGCAATATGCCACTTGTCTAGGGAAGAATAAACTCACATGGGGTGCTTCGTTAACTGCACCGTTTCCCTTGTAGTGCTGTTCCCATTCCTGATCAGGTTGCGAAATGATATGCCAGGCATCCACGGTCCAGTCGGTCGTGTTCAGCTCGGTGATGGCGATGGACTGAAGTCTTTTCTCGTCCACGATGCTAAGGACATGGTATCTCCCCTTGCCTGGTATTTCCAGATACGAGCCGTCGATGCTAAAGGCAAGGTTGCTGGAGCTACCTCTGGATCCCTCCGGTGGGACGAGCGTGGCGAGAAACTCGTAATCGCAGTCGTATGGGTTGGGCCCGTCGCAGCCTTTGAGGACTCTTGTCTGGCAGCTATCGCAGCAGGTCTGGGATGCGTCGCAGCTGGAGTAGAAGTAGTACCAGGTGTTGTCGATGTGGTGGATTTCGGGAGCCCACATGTTGGCATTTCTTGTAGTGTTCGTGTCAGTCCAGATGACTCTGGACTCCCCCGAAGCCAGGCCACCCAAAGTCCGAGACCTCACGATTTCAAACTGGGTATAGCCGGTGTAGGTGCTGGTGGCCCATGGTTAGTTTTGGATGCTACCAAGACGGATAGCGTTCATAGATTACTTGCAGGTAGTAATAGCCATCAGCGTAAACCAGTGATGGATCTGGGGCTGGCTTGTCACGGATTGGGTTTTTGTAGGCTGCAGAAAAGCCTAGTTGTAGCACTGCGGTTAGCAGCAGTGACCGGATGAAGGAGGCCATTCTGGATTGCTGTGTCTGTAGGGTAGGCAATCAGTGACAGACTGACGGGATAGAGGAGAATGGGCTGCAACAACGTTGCATTGTCCTCGGCCATTGTCCTCGGGAGGGACAATCTTTATCTACTGCATATTCTTGGTGGGTAGCAGAAGGTGTCGATCAAACGCCATGGCCGCAGACGGGAGTGTTATTGGCGCGCATCGTCTCTTTGATGGTATAGGCTCACCTTCGGTCCGCAGAACCACATGCTGCCAAAAGATGGGGATTTCTCTTAACCCCGCGCTTTTAGTAGATGGTAATTGGAGCGCACCAATCATCAGTTGCCGCAGAATACAAGCATCTGCCAATTAACCGGCAATATTCCCACTTCCTGTCGAAAGGTTGAATAAACATGGCGCGGAAGTATTATTCCGGCCTAAATTGGGCCGATCTCACTAAATCTGTATGGAAGGCAAGGTCTTGGATGTTGTTGGACAACAAATTGAATGAGGAATCTAACATCTCTGATCTTCTACATGTGGACTATGACAATAGTCTGACCTATTAGTATAGCACATCCTCAACTTCCAGCGCTGAAATCCGTTACAACATCAAGACAAGCCAAGGTCTTTGTCTCTAGCCTGACTGCTCGCCACGTATGGCTACTACCAACGAGATCGATTCTCTTCCTCATACTGATCCTCATTATAATCATCCCATTCTCGCTCCATAATGGCCACGCTAACAGGGCTCTTTGTTCCCTGATCGGGCACCCTGCGACCGTGGAATTTAATGCTCTGATAGTCGAACCGACCCTCGATGATACCACCGCCCAAAAACCGAATCTCGCCTTTATTGCTGCCGCCATAGAATATGGGTCCCTCGTTCTCGCGGCCACGCCAGGTGAACGATACACCCTCGTCAGACGAAGCCCAGGGTCGCTCGGAGAAAAACATGACCCCTTCAATGACGCCCAGATCAAACTGGCCCCAGAGCTGCCTGCCATTTATCGTGAGGGTCAAGTCAAACTCGGAACCGAGATGGGGCCATTGCCCTGTTACATAATTGCTGCGAAGGTGGTAATATCCGTTCAGCAGTCCCAGGGGGGCGAGCTTATTATCTTGGACCATGGTGTACGGTGGTGGGGGATCGTCATCGTCGCTCGAGAGCTCAATCGCGCGGGAAGGAAAGCCTTTCGATTGGGAAGCCGGGTTTCTAGCAGTCGCGCGAGATCCGCCACGACGGGCCGTCTGCCTTGGCATGGGGGATGCCTGCGATGCCGATGCAATCGGAGCGCTTCGGCTTGGTCCGCTTGCAGCAACACCACCGCGACGGGCCCGGGCTGTCTGTCTTGGCATGGCAGATGCTGGCGATGCAGTGGTAATAGGAGAGCCTCGACTTGGTCCGCTTGCAGCAGTACCGCCACGCCCGGCAGTCTGCTTCGCTCGAGGCTTGTTCGGAGTAGGCTCATTTGACTTAGCGGGAGCGGGCTTCGGCTTGCTCGCAGCAGGCTGGCTTGCCGCAGGTTTCTTTCGTGGGGTTGCCTTCTCAGGCTCTGCCTTTCTCTTCGCTCCCCCCGTAGCTTTAGCTGTGCTAGCAGTGCCTTTACTCGCAGTCGGGGCAGTGGCTTGCTTCTTCGCTTCCCTCTCGCTTTTGGTCCATGCGGTCCTGAGCTTCTTCTCCAGCTTGGAGATGTGGTCCGGGACGGCCAGGTCGCTGCCATTGACGGCGTCGAGCAGACGCATCCGGGCCACCGACTTTGTCTTTGACGGCTTGAGGCCGTAGTGGAGGAGCTGGGCCTCGAACCAGTGGGCGGGACGGTCCTTGTCAGTGCCGGACGCGATCTGCTCCTTCAGCTCGGGGATGGTGGCGCGGCGATGGCGGTTCTGACCCGTGGCCTCTGCGAAGAACTCGCCGTGGGCAAAGGCGAATCCGCCCTCGGAGGCGGGAGGGGCACCCGCCCACTCGGAGATGCCGGTCGGCTTCTTGGACATACTGCTAATACTTGTGCCAAAGTGGATGGGAAGGCGAGGTGATGACACAAGTTCGGCTGGCGCAAGCTTCAAGGAGTCCGATGAAATGATTGTGGGGAAAACAAAAGCGGGGTCACTGAAATTACACTGACATAAAACATGGCACATCCAAATACTTCGGCACTGAACTTCAACACAATATCAAAATAATTGGCAGTAACAAACGCAAATCGAGCGAAACGTGAAACAACAATCCATTCATCCTCTTATTACTGTGTTTAATAACAACCAGATCCCTGCCCTCGGCGCAAACGGCTTTGGTCTGCTATGCTAGCACTTAACGTGCATTCTAATCCGAACCTCATATAGAGTCTAGGGTGTAGTGCTGGACAGAACCGTCATCGAAACTGTGTCTGCTCTTTCTTTTCCTGCCAAAGTATTTGCTGACAGTGTATTCACTTCTCCTTCGGTTCCTGTTCCTGGCCGAGTTTGCGGATGAGGCCGGATTTTGTGGGTCTGAACCCGGGATCTCGCTCTGGAGTTGTTCGGCAATAGCATCGTCCTCGGTTGGTTCGGGTGTCTGGAGGCGGCTGGCGTCGCTCATGCCGTCCGAGTAATCTACAGAGCTGGATTAGTGACATTCAGGACGTATACAGATCAGAGGATGGTATTACCCGAGTCGTTGAAGCGAGTATCGCGTTCTAAAAACTTCTCCTGGTACTCTTGGACCACGGCATGATACTGTGGAGAAACTCTCGACAAGTCAAGCTCATGGAGGTCCGTAGCTTTCAAAAAGGTAAACGTGCATCGGCTGATATCTTCGGTGTTATCAAAACATCGGAAGGGAAAAGCTCTCTGCTTGACCTTGGGACCACCATCCTCAAAGCCGGGAGCCCATCTGCTCAGCAATCCTGTGTCCTCGTCATAGTTGTAACCATTTGGGGGCTTCTCCATCAATTTGTCCATCTCCTCGGGTGGGATCAGTGTCGATAACTTGCGAAGCGGAAGAAGCGCGACAGCAAACATCTGACTCCCCCACAGCGACATATATAGCTTGCCAAACTCAGGGTCGAGGATTAGTTGGTTGCCAGAAGCTCCCTCAGAACTTGTCTTGCGTCTCTTTCGCTGAGACTGGGATTCAGAGATGCCTGGCGCCTTCGGGTTATACCCATTCGAGATGGCGGCTTCGACATCGTCATTGTTCTTCTTAGCAAGCTCGGCCGTGCAACCCACTACAAGCACCCCGAAAACGTCGATGTGCCTGTTGGTTGATATGCAATCTGGGCTGCAATTTTCATGTTTGACGAGATGTCTCTTGGGCCCTGAGCGGTTTGCTCCCTTTCCAAATGCGTAATTCACATTATGCTGTTCACAGCGCAAGATCCACCAGCGTCCTTTGACACTCGCGTCAGTGGTGAGCGAATGTTCACGGTCGTATATGGTGTACTTGATTTCCGCTTGCCCATCCTGGTACACGTCGTCGAAATGAATTGTGGTGACGGTGCGCGCAGCCGACTCGTACCCGGGCCCCTCGCTGATTCGACGCTTGTTCATGGTGCTAGCACGTCGCGGGCGGTTGAACTCAGGTGACGCTGCGTTGGTCTGGATCTCCTCGGCTTCCGAGTGACGAGGTGACTCTCTGGCCTGGCTCGGGGAGCTTTCTGGGAGTGGAGAAACGATGGACAATGGATCAACAGCTGTATATTCAAGGAAGCCACGCGTCTGCATTGATGTCTCAGAGTTGCTCTCAGATGGAGGATCGCTTCCTTGTGAAGAACTCTCATCGGCTGAAACGGAACCTAGCGCCAGATTAGAGTGAAATCCTGGTCGTTGAGGAGGCCTGACTGGCGAAGACGTACCCTGCTCTAGGTATCGGCGTCCCTCTTGATCGGGGAGCCCTCCAACTGTTGGAAGCTGTAAATGCACAGCTGATAGCCCGTCTGGGAAAACCTGGTACGAGAGAGACGCCATATACTGCCTAGAAGCATGGACTAGAGCCGAAGCTATGTCATCAAGCCATGCCTTCTGCTTCCCGGGCAAAGTGTCCTCGTGCTCCTGGATCAACCTCGCCTTCTCCATACCAAGCTGCATCATCTTCTCGGTCTGCTTCTGGACATCGAGCGGCGTGGTACAGTCTCTGATGCGTCCGATCTCCTCTTCCATGCGGGACTCGAGGTTTCGGCACTGAGCTTGATGAGTTTCGGCCGGCGTCTCGAGAGCGATGGCGCTCCTGGCGTGCTTGACAAACTCGTCCAGACGAGCTGTCAATTGGAGACGATGGTTTTCCTCGAACGACATGGTGCACTAGACTTTATGGATGTGTGAGCTGGTGCCGGTATGTGAAAGGTGATGCAGTTGTGCGTCCAAGTGGCTTGTGGTTACTTACATGTAGGTAGCTGTGGATGGTTAAGGAAGAAAGAAAAGGAGGCGGGGACGAGGGGAATGGTCCTCGACAGAGTTTTATGGTACTGCTGCAATGTACCTTCCATCTTCCGTCAACGCCACTACATGCTTTTTCATGTCATGCAGGCAGGCACGCATGAGCAGCTAGCCGAAACGCGATGCTCGGTCGTGCTTGCACGTTGCGGGAGCTGTCAGAAAAGCAGGGATTGCATAGATGTACCTCTATACGTATAGGGGTATATCAAGTCACCTCTGCATCATTATTGTCAGCCAGCCGCATGAGAATTCTTCCCATTGCATCACAGTTACTCGACAAGTTAATATTAATATTATTACTAATTCTTGTCTATCAATATTGTAGCTTGTGTTGGGAAGATAGACTGTAAACACTGTGCAGGTTTCTGACGCCCGCCTGGATGCGTCTATGCAGCTTACTGCCACCAAAGCTCTTGCCATTGGGCGATGGGTTAGGCAGCTAAGACTTTTTCTGACAGAGCCCTCCAGAAGAGAGCCCGATTGGCTTGTTCTTCAGCTTTGGGGTAGTACAACCCGTTGCTCCTTCATGCCCAATCTCCCAACCGCCTATCAAGTGCCTCCTACCCCGCTCGTGGTGTATCAGCTGCATGTATGTCTCGGTAAGCTCATTGATTGTGTTTGGAAGGAACGAAGGAGAAAAATTTGCTCGGGCACCCAGCTGTTTTGGGGGGCAACGGGCTGCCCTGATAGAGTTCCTATGGTCGCCACATACTTCTTGCTCACCTATTGAAGATTTATTCTGCGCCGAGAAAGACTCTAGCATGTCAAAGAATATTCCATGTTCGTAGCGCGCAGTTGGACAACGGGCGGTCAGAGAGCTTAGAAAAAGCAACGAACTATGGCAACGTGCATAGTATCTAGCTTGTAGGAAGACGGTGAGAAGACCAAAATCTCGAGAAGCAGAAAGGCAAAAAAAAAAAAGGATGCTTTTGGTCGGATTCGAACCGGGTCTCCCGTGACTCCCGTAATGTAGGTGTTCTCTCTCCCCCTCCCTTCGAGGGTGAGAGGGGATCGACGTATCACCCAGGAGAAGAGCTGGCCAATGCTTGCCCACAGCACCAGCGTCCAACGGCAACCCATTACCGTGGTAGAATTTTTTTTATATTAATTACTCAGTCACGCAGGCGATATCGCAAACATATGGTGTAACCATTAAGGAATTTTCCTTGCCAATTTTTCTAATTTCTCGCTACTTATGAGTATAGGAATTCTGTATTTCCTCGCAGCGCCCGATGATCACTTGCTAAATTGATTCCCGTCATTGACGCGCATCGCGCATACAGAGGCCGACGAAGACTTTGGATCTGTGACAAGATTTGTGAAGAATAGCGCTCTAGAATCAAGAAGAAGAAAGCAAAACGATGTGAGTTTCGCCATGGCGTTAAAATAAATAAAATAAATGTTAAAAATAAATGTTAAATAAATAGGGCGACCGGCTAGCGAGCGAGGACCCGACCGCGGATCGTAGAGATTTTTAGCCGTATGTGCACACGCCCGGCTTTCCCTCGAATGGGAATGAGCAGAAGTAGGCGCGGTAGCAGTCGGCGTTGCTCCAGCACTCTTTTCCGGGAGGCTCGAATCCCTGGGCAACAGGAGCGGCAGAAGTGGTGGCAAAGCCAATGGCGATGCATAGCAGAGTAGCTTTGAGGGAGGCCATTTGGTTGATATGTTCCCAGTTGGCTGTTGAACTTGAGATGGGGCTTGGGATAGTGAAGCGTGGAGTGTGAATGATGTCTGCACAATGACGGGTAGTCTAGTGAACTCTAGGTACGCGGCCTTGGGGCTGGTCTTTTATAGGCAAGGTCGTCGACCTGTGTGACAGCATAATTACCCACGTACTCGGCGTGCTCCGTAGGGAAAAGGGATCGCCGACGGCCTCCCATACCAGTTCTAGTTTGGCATTCCGGGCAGGGCGAGTGGGGGCATTCCTAGAGGCATCCAACCAAACCCTAGTCTTGAAGTTAAGCATAGATTCTAATCTCAACCGCGGCCGATCATATGTGGGCGTGATGACGTTTCAACACTATGCGCAAGTGAGGCAGTGTAAGCGAAATCTGGATCAAGTGACGAATCTCAATGATGATCTTCCCTGGTTGTCTTGGCGATAGGGTCTTGCTCCCATCCATCGTTACATCGCGACATTTGACTGAACTGGCCTGAGCTGGGTGTCCAGGCAGAAAATGGATGGAATGATGTGTGCAAAGTCACGCATTCCCGCATAGCCAGCTGATCTGGATCAAAGCCCTCTTCTTGGGGGTTATCAAACAAGCGGCGGAATGCGTGAGAGGTTGTCGTCAGAGGTCTGACTTTGAGTGGATGGTCCTACGAGCACCCTGGCTTGAGCTTGCTTGGCATAGGCTTGGCGGACCAGCTGGCTCCGCTGTCTGAGAGTCACCTTCTCTCAATGAAAGGACCATGATTCCGCGGTCATCTGGTTTACTTTATCCATGCGTTATCCCGATCAAGCCCTACGGACCAGCAACTCTCCTACCAAACCAGCAGCTCGCGTAATACCTAAACCAACTTGGTAGAGTTGCAAGATATTGCTTTTCCAGCTGCCACTAGCATCTAAAGTGACTGTTGTAAGACAAATGACAATAGTTGACCAACTAAGAGTTGGAAGAGAGCAAACAGGTTTTCTGTCATAATCGGACGCGCGTGCGCGAGGATTCCGAGACAATGCCACCTTTCGAGCCATCTCATTCTTGGATTCCGAAAACGAACCCAAATGTCAGCACATGTCTAACTCACTCTCCATCGACTGAACTTCAATGGTTCGATTCTCTGTGGAATTCCCTTGGCATAACGATCTGACGTGGTGACAAAGAGGTGATGGGGGTGGCAAGCGGATGACAAAGAGCACCCATCTGATCACCAACTGGGAAATTCAATAGCCAGGGCGTAGAATCCATCGCATTGTTCAAACTTGTCCGCTTTCTGCAGGTTCAATTGGCTAGTGTTCAAGAAATTAACGAGAACGAACAGTCAATAGTGTTTTGCCGTGGTAAGAGGAGAATTAGCGAAACGATGCGCTTCATCGTCCTCGTGTGGAGACAAGTCAAGATTGACAGTCCGACCAACACAACATGTTTCTCAACATGGCCTTCGTTCGTGAACAGCGTCATGGTGCGATTGCCACTTGTCCATTCTCCTATAAACAGGGGCCAAATTCCCACTAATTCTTTCCTCTCTCGCTCCATCCACACAATAAACATACCAAAATAATATGGCCTTCGACAATATCCTATGCCGCTGATGCTCTATCTTGGCCTTTTAGGCTTGGATGAGAAGCACAGCAGGCTATCACTCGACGCATCAACCGCTCGACTCAGGGCCATCGCCATCAGATACGACCAAGAACGCTGCGTTGGCTCTGTGTTGGAGTTCATCGTCTGCTCCAATGGCCAACGCTTGCCATGTTTCTTCCATAATGGCCAACGCGTGCCATGTCGGTGTGTTTTGCTTCATCTCATTGCTCAGGCGATGAGCTGGGGGCAGATACCTCGATCAAGCTCGCACAACTGGGAGACAGGTCGTGCACCATCTCATCGGCCTGCAGGCTGGCTCATACCCTCAGGGGGAGCTTAGAAGTTGCCCTCTTTTGTCATTGTACACGTCTTGAGGTTTCCATAATTAATTTAGTACGACGCGCATAGGGATCCTATGTGCAAGTTCTAACAACCCATAGAGATGGTGGGGTAGAAATGGCCTTTGCTAGCTTCCAACAATAACAATAATTTTCCGCTCCTTCCTACAGACATTACCTGGTCCAACGGCACAGCAATTCCTATCGTTGGTGATAGAGCCCGTGGTCTTTCAGGTTCTGCGGCATCGCCTCGTCCATCAGTCCATCGACGGAACCCCATCCAAACACATGAGGGCGCGCTCAACTTCATCGCGTCATTCGGGTGGGATCTGGGCACCTCACCCCAGCAGGTCCTCAGCCATCAATTCCAAACGCTCCATCGCAGACTCCCTACGTAACACGTCCCGTGGGCATCAACAAGCCAGGCAGCAACTCCACGACCCACTCCTACTGATTGAAGGACAGATCGTTTGCCACCGACACTAGCTTTCAACCAAGTCCTTGACAAGCACAAAACAGACGCCGACGTCGATCACAGGAGTGTGAAACCGGCTCCCCTACAACTCGTACCCACAACCGAACGCGACACAGGTCAAGGGCAGTGAGCATCATAGCAAGCGTACTCGAATTGACGAAAGCCAGTGCAGGCAATAGTTTTGCTGCTTCCCCCTCTGGCGTTGCTGCTAGAATATCTCCATTTCCCCCCAATATGGGCATGGGCATGAATATGTACTCCCTTCTCCTCTCCCCTCCATAAGCTTTCTGGCTTCCCTCAGTTGTACTAGCAAGATACTTCGGAGTCATCGAGCATACTAAGAACCGGCTGTTTACCCTACCACTGAACAAACTGAGAGACCATCCTCGTCAGACAAGCCCTCTCATCGCCCTACTACTCCTCCCTCAATAACGATAACGATATCATCCGCGACACTACCGAAGTAGGCCTGTCGCCATCCGACATGGAACTGGTTGACTCAGATGAGCTTAGCAGTGTCGGTAGCTCGAGTTCTTCCAGCACCTCGCCCCGCCTCACCACCCGTCACGAGCGCTGAGTTGACCCTACCCACACAACGACGAGACATGGTGGTTCGCCGCTTTGTAGAGATATTGTATCAGGAGTGGTCGCCGAGATTTTTGCTATTGATCCAGGGGGCCCTTGCGGCGGTTTATGGACTCTTGGGAGAACGGGGGCTCGGTTCCTAACCCATAAGAATAAAGGTCCGAGGGCGATGATATAAAAAAGGAGAAACTCGACCCTCGACGCTTCTTACAATACCACGGAAGAGCCAAGCTGGATGTCTCCTCACAATAGTCCTGACTTAGAGAAGCTGTCCAGATGTTTTCGGAATTCGGTGAATACTCAGCGGCAAATGATAATAAGGCTATGAGATAAGCCGGCCTGAAGCACCAGTCCACTAAGCCGGAGATCAAATCAACTGCTTCTGATTTATGCCAGAATAAAGATACATCGCACCTATGGTTCGGGCGAACTCTCTGGCTTATCTGTGGTACTCATTCAAACGGAACCTTCCACAAGGTAACGACCACTAACACTGGGGCTTTCTTTCATACATGGGAAGATGAAGACCAGTCCTCACCACCAACATACACACCTACTCGGCCTTCTCTTACAAAACGCGACAAAGCGCCACTGCTGCGCAGACGGTTCACTGACAGCTCATTAAGTTGCGAATATCCAAGCTTCCTGGATCGCATCCTGGCTCTAGCCAACGTACTCAGAACGACCAAGCAAGTCGTCAAAGATCTATGCTTCCACAATAAAGTCATCAGCTACTAAAGATACATAATTAGTCGCTTGGCATCTTTCAACATTAGACTTGAGGGCTTTACGAGTGCATTGGATAAAATGGATCGACACATTGATACTATTCTCTCCGGCAAGCGCGCAGTCGGACATAAAGGCCTCCTCCCCATTCCTACCAGCCAGCAGTATACGCCAACATCATGAGGAACAAAATCATGCCATGTGCACCACAAGCATATGCCCGTCTCTCAGTGGAAAGCAATCAGAGAGCAAGAAAGAGCCACGGAGCTAAGCAAGGCCAGAAGCAAGGACGGGATGAACATTCCGAAGTTCGTCGAGACCGGCCTGGCGCCTGCTCAAGAGGTTGAGCTCCTACAGCGCCTGCTCACCCCGATCACGGACCTAACGGAGTATAATTATATCCCAACAATTCCCCCAGAAGAAGCTATAAAGAAGTTCCAAGGAAGTAGGGGGGCGGGCAAGGGCTGGGAGCAGTACGATCGCTGCCAGCAGCGTTTCCAGGTCTTCTCAGGGCGGCGTGTAGAAGACGGAGCCCTCACTTTCCTCCATCAACCTCCTCTGTCCTCAATCAGCTTTCTGAACCAAGCTACTATCGATCATATCATGAAATTCACCTCTGGCAAAGCCACTGGCAACCCCTTTCACAAAGGCATTCTTATCGCCTTTGTACCCGTACCTCAGAGATGCTCAAATAGTCAGTGAGAAGCTATGGCATTTCTATCACGATAAAAGTCCGTCAAACCGCGAGGTCCGGCGTTGGCTCTAGCAATAAAACTAGATAAAATTCTGCCTCAGAGAAGCTCAAATACTCAATGAGCAGCTACAGGAATTTTACTACGACAAGAGTCCATCAAACCGCGAGGTCGGGCGTTTGCTCGAGCAATCAACTAGACAAAAACTATCGTTTATTTAGGGTTTCTTTGATACACATTTTTCACAGAGGAGTGCAAAGCTAGGACCAAGTTGGAGCATGGAAACCGCAGGATGGGAACTTCATAGATATTCAAGATGTCCGTTGAGCTTCATTAGCAAGCTTGCCAGACTCTACGCTATTTATACTAATGACGCTCGTTTAATTAACTGTGTACAATAAATGCATATCCGTAGATCCATTCCCAATCCCTGCTGCTCTCAACTACGAGCTTCGGAGAATCTCGTCAGATGCTCGTGGGTAAATTCCTTGTGTAGGGTAGTTACGTTACGAGTGTGGGGTCGAGTGATTGGACCCTCGCTGTGATTTTGGCGCTACTGCGTGACAACATTATACTCTTATAAATAGCTAGCTTTCACACCAAAAAAATAGACACTTCTTACTTTGCACATGCACTCACGTTTCCTTAAAATATTTTCTTGTTGAAAAGCCTTCTCTCCATGTCAGTCCAGATAGAAGGAAATGATTTATTAATCGATTGTTTGCTGAAATAATTGTTCATGATACGCTTATCCCGTTTGTAGTTTCCAGCAGAGATTCATATCTCCAGTGCCTCTCCAGCACGGGCCCTTTATGTCTCTTCCCCTACACACTGTCCATGTTTGAGGAACAATGATCCAAACCATGTCTTTCGTATGGAGCCCTACATCGCACTTGCCTTGTAAA